AATAGCTCAGTCCTCAAATTCTTTTCCCAGCAATTTTCTGCCCTATCAACTCTCAAGCCCTGAGACAACCCGGCACTTCCAGTAATGTCCAAAAACATGTTAATGCTGTTTAACGGGTATCTCTACATTGGCGTGTTTACGAGATGTCTTGCGGTGTTTAGGTCATGATTTAAATATGTTTACTAAAAAATAGCATTTAGTTGGGAAATTTAAAAAAAAAGCCACACTGACTTCAAATTTTCTCTGTAGCCTCATTTATAGAGGTCACAGCATAAATCACTGGATAATGTTTTTAGGACCTCTAGAAATGTATTCCATTTAATGCTTTAGTGTGTTAATTTTTTTATTGATTTGTCTCTTTATATATATATATACAGTGAAAGAGAACCGGTGGGGTGGTGTAGTTGCTAGATGCTCTCCTCTGGATTTGAAGGTTGTGGTTCAGGTCATGGACAGTCAGACTTTTTTCAAAATAGACCTTGGCTCCCAGGTCGACCCAGCCTTTAAATGGTTACTATCGAAATTCCTGGGAAGTAAAGGCAGCTATCATAATATTGACACCATCCACCAAGTGCCGATTGGTCTTACAAATGTAGTCCAGCCGTATATGACCAATACACCTGAAGATGTGGACAAGAGTCCTTTACTTTTTTAACTTTAGAGTGAACATATTTTTTGATCAGATAATTTTGTTTTGTTTCATTTATTAGTGACCCAAGTTGTAATGTTTTTAAAAAGGGATTTCCAGAAGTTCATGACCCAGTTTCTTTAGTGTTCCCGGGGCGAAAGGGTTAAAGGAGATTTTTTCATTTTGTTGAGCATATTTTAGCCACCCAGTCAATGGCTGATATTTCGAGGTGCCGCTGTCGACAGACAGATTCAAAGATAACTATGTGAGCTGGACAGTAAAAGCAGGAACAAAGTAAAATCCAAAATATACCAAAAATAATGTGAGAAAGTCATATTATATAAATGAAGAAACTACAGTATAGATCTTGGAGCAAGGCAATGAAGATCCGTCTGTTAGTAAGTGTTCCTGTAGCTAACACTTTTGTAGCCAGATAATAAACTCTTTCATTTCTTTGAATTCCTAAATGTTTGAGGTTTCTGAAAATCCCTAGCCAGATCTTTTAACTGGATAAACAGAACCATCAATGTACACTACTGCATCATCTAGCCCAGCCTTCTCTTCTGTCAGTTATTGTAGCTTTAATTCTGCCATACTGTTACATCACTCCACATCAGTGGTCTCCAACCTTATTCCCCCCCCCCCCCCTTTTTTTTTTATAAAGTACATATATCATTCTCCAGATCAAGCTGACAACACTTTTTTTTTAAAGACTATTAAAGTTGCAAATCCAGATTATAACAACTCGGTCTTAACCATCCATCCATCATTATCTCTTCTATGCTTACATCAGCTAGCACACCTTCAACCATCTGTTACACAAAACAGCAATTCAGAAAGACAGCAAGCTCTTTATTCATACAGAAGCACAATCTCAAAACACAGTTTATGGTTGAAATCTCACACTATGTAGAATCTCTCTTTATCAAACGTCTAACACTAAACAAACAATATGTACTGTAATAAATTATGTTGAAAATCATGAGCTTATTGGTCGAACTGTTCACAATTATCTTTCTTTTCATTTGTATTTTCTCAATGGGGAATATCCTATTGTGTTGTCAGTTATATACTGCTGCCTAGTTATTTACTCTTGTCAGTAGTGTCCTAATGTACCAGCTTACTTTAACTTGATCAGGGACTTGTAGAAACATCAGATCTACCAGGGACTTGTAGAAACATCAGACCTACGAGGGACTTGTAGAAACATCAGATCTACCAGGGACTTGTAGAAACATCAGACCTACCAGGGACTTGTAGAAACATCAGACCTACCAGGGACTTGTAGAAACATCAGACCTACCAGGGACTTGTAGAAACATCAGACCTACCAGGGACTTGTAGAAACATCAGACCTACCAGGGACTTGTAGAAACATCAGACCTACCAGGGACTTGTAGAAACATCAAACCTACCAGGGACTTATAGAAACATCAGACCTGGTGATTACTGAAAGCAAATGGAACAGGTTTGTTGTCTCTTCCAGTTTAAAGTGCAGGAGATTTGAAGAGAAAAATTAATCATGTCACACACATGAAAGTAATGTCTGTATATTTCAGCTGTTCATTATTTATTTACACACTGAATTCGTTTAATGTCTTCATTCTGTGCTTGCTTCATCTTTTCAGTTAAAAATAATAACCAGGAGAAAATGACAGACACATTTCAGTTCAAGTTGTAGTTTAAAAAATTTGCCCTCTCCTCCTTCAGAAGTTTAGTTTAAACTAAAACAAATGATTACTATTAATCGCCTAAAATCTGTAAAAGTACGATTTCACTTGTAGATATTATAGGTATTAAATAATAAAATCTAGATATGCTCTGGTTTTTTTGTTGTTGTTAAAACGGAACTCTCACACACAGTAACACACTAAAAAACAAAAATATTTTTCTTGTATAGATTTCACCTGAAGTACAGTCAATGAGAAAAAGAAGAAATTTACTATGATATTACTAGGAACACAGAGTTGAAAACAAAACTACCTTTACTTTCTATAGAATCACTTTTTATAGCAGCTAGGACAAAAGATCTTGAACCTGAGGATTTATTGGGTCACATGGGTAGAGCATTCGCCATAGACTGTGCAGATTAGGCTTATTTGTGCCCCCTACAGAAACAAAAAAATATTTCCACTAACTTCCCGAGGATTTTAACCTGTTACGCCCGGTATTCTAACCACTCAGCCAGCCGCTCCTCTCACAGACACTGAGAACTGAACTAAATATAAGTCATATTTGTAGATCTTCAAAATAGGAGTCAGGAAAGTTTAGTGGTTAGTTCACTGAAAAAAAAAAAAAAGTAGATTCACATTTCCATGGAAAACCAAATTGTGATTAATATATTTGTTTGTTGTTAGTTTTTATAGTTATTTTACTAAAGAGAGGGAAATGAATTATCAAAGTTTATTTATTAAATCAATATTCATGATATACCTTTTATACTCTTTCTTACTGCCAGACTTGAAAAATTAAGACCAAATATAATACATATACATAGCTTCTGACATGTCATTCTTTCTTTGATATTTGAAAAAAAGAAAAATAGTTAAATTAATAAACACACATATATAATGTTTAATTCCTAATGAATAATTGATTATGATTTATTGTAAGTTACTGACAAGTATCACAAAATATCAGCTACAAATAGTGTATATGATTATGCTTACAGGGTTTTCGTAACACACAGATACAATTATATGTATGCACATACCAAAGCACAGTAAGAGAGAGAAGCACCAGTTAGATACATCCTAATATATTTGTTCAAAACTAAAGTAATCCAAAAAAATTAATAAAACAAATATATTTGTTAATCCTGCCTACTGTTTTAAAGCAGCCCTTGAATTTATTTTGTGTACTTCAATTGCACAATATATATTTCACTTTGTTGTTATTTGTTCCCTGCACCCCTTCCCCACATTTACTTTTATTACATCGATTTTAGTTTTTTTTCCTTGGTTTTCACAACGCATTATATATTTTATAAAACATCTGAAGATAATGCAAACTGTATAATGTAATTTTAAAACCTCAAATGAAAACAAATTAATTACTAAGGTGACATCAAGTACTGTTGAACTGAATTTTTTAGAATTCTTTATCAAAATGAATCTCTTTTTTTTTCCTCAGAAAAGTATCATAAATAAAACACTTTTGATGATCCTAATTTTCCACATGCATTTCTTTTTGTAGTATCTTACCCCCCTCCCCCCTTATTTTGAGTTAAATGCTGCTTCTTTACTTCTGAGTTCCATGAATATTGTTGTGCTATGCTTCACTTATTCAACTGTATCTCTTTCTTAAATCATTCAATATATGCAGTTACAGTATTTTCTGAACTGGTTTGCACAATTATTAAATTATCATGATGAGTGTAAACAGAGATCACACATTCCCCAGATACTGATGTATTTCCACTTTACACATGGCATGCCAGGACTTTTATAAATGGGTTTAAAACGAAAATTAAATTGCTGAAATGGTGTAATTGTTTCTTTATTTTTATACTATATTTGGATACACAGTTAACACATTTATTGACTAAATTAGAAATGTGACATACTTTACATACCTAATTAATTTTTACTTATACAATTACAGGTTTATATGTAAACTTAGCAGATTATTTAAGAAGGTGGGGAAAAAAATCACTTATATAACAAAACATTATAAATTACAATAATTTAAAAAGTATTAAAAAATATGAAAGGCACATTAATTGAGTTAAGGCACTAAGGTATTTCTGTATAAGGAGACCTATTGCCAGATTGGTCTTGCTACCAGTCAAACACAATATTGTTACGTTTTTTTTTTTGGGTACTGCTAGGGCTACAACCTATGAATTTTCATAATTTTTCAGCCAAAAATGAATATCATAAGCCAGGCTGGCATATGGCATAAATGTTGAAATATTCGCAAGTAAAAACTTTGACAAATTCATTATGAAGGTAAATATTACTTTTTTTACTTAAATGTGACATGAAACATTTATTAGGATGGAATACAGTCCAGATAATTTTTGGCAAAAAGGCTTTTAAAAAAAACTGGTTTCGAAATAGTAAATTTATACTCATAGCCATAATTGATGATTCTGACCGACACAAACTGATTTATTAACTTTACAAGTTATTTGTCAGGTGGCTTGTATTAAAAGCTAATATTCTAATAATGTATCACTTCTATTGACCAGAAACCAGAAAAACTATTTATGGAAATGAAAACCGTCACATGTAGCAAGTAAATATAATCAATCAATCAAATAAGAAATGTTAGAGGCCAGTTTGAGATTAAACTAATTTTTCTGTAAAAAGTGACCAAGCAGACATTCAACAGTTTCTGTTCAGATGGCTGTATGTTAAATAAAAGCTACTTATGCCAGAACTTGACGCTTGACCTTGGAGCGAATGACTTGCAACATGATCAGCTTCCTGGCTCCAAACTTATCTCCCAGGGCGACAATGGTTCCTCTATCACGGCTCATAGTGATGTGGAAGACATCCACTCCAGCATTGAAGGCACAGATTTCTTTGCCAGTTTTCAGCTGCCACAGGCGAATGGTGCCATCACGAGATCCAGACACAACGATTTCATTGTCAGAAGAAATGGTAGCACACCAGACCTAGGGAAATAAAACAATCCACATAGTATCCACACAGTACCCACATAGTATCCACATAGTATCCACATAGTATCCACATAGTATCCACATAGTTTCCACATAGTATCCACATAGTACCCACATAGTATCCACATAGTATCCACATAGTATCCACATAGTATCCACACAGTATCCACACAGTAAGTAAAGTAAAGTAAAGATCCCTTTTCACGCCTTTCGGCGCATCGGGCATATGGGCAGAGCGTCCCATATTTTTACAGACCATCAGCGCTCTGTGGGTAATGTGGTCAGCATTACGCCAGCTGTCTTTACTTTCCCAGGACAGCCCATCCTGGTACCCATTTTAGGCTGGGTCGACCTGCGACGTCCCATACCACGACAAAAATCCACGCAGCCTGCAGTGGGTTTCGATCGCGGTATGCTGGCTCACGAGTCGGACTCGCAACGCCTTAGCCACGGACGCCGCCATCCACACAGTATCCACATAGTATCCAAATAGTACCCACATAGTATCCACATAGTACCCACATAGTACCCACATAGTAACCACATAGTATCCACATAGTATCCACACAGTATCCACAGTATCCACATAGTATCCACATAGTACCCACACAGTATCCACATAGTTTGGTGGCTCATAAACAGCATCAAATCTCAGAAACTGAAATATTCTGACCATTTTAAACGTCATAATGTAGAGAGAAATAATAATAATAGAACTTCCTTTTCCCCGTGTGGGTTTCAGGCCTCTAATTTGGAGAACAGAGAATAGAGCCACTGTGCCCCTATCAAATCTTCTTATAGCAGGCTAATTAAGGGATGTGTACTTCAAAGTCAAACTGCATCTGCCTGAAAGATAAGGAACCAACAATCTGCATACAATTAAGCCAGATCTGTAAATTATCTGCACACAAAAATCAACTTCTGGGTCTTTCCTTCTTTCCTTTTAGCTAAATCTGAAGGTACAAGAGAGTTCCAAAAGAGACTACTGATAGAGAGTGAATATTTCTCAAATATAGCAGATTTTCAAAAGCTCCTGATCCAGGTTATACCAAGTGGTGCAAGTCACTCTTTGCATAAGATGCCAGTTTAAATTTTCTGAAGCATACTCTGTGAGTCCATTTTAAGTACAACATTCTGGGCTGTGCTGCTCTCAAGTCATCGGAAAGTGAAAAGCTGTCATTACCAACTCCACCTCGAGAAAATATATTTTGTGTGTGTGTGCGTGCACATATATATTTATATATACACACATACACACACACACACAAACACATATATGAGTTAAACAGAACAAAAGGTGAAAATATAAAATACCTCATCATTATGGCCAGACATGGTAGAAATGTGTCTCTCTGACCCCAAGTCCCAAACCTTGAGAGTTCCATCAGCAGATGCAGAAACCAAGAACCTGCTGTCCTCTGACCTTGCCACAGCCTTGACCTCACGCGAGTGGGCATGTTTGCCAGTGTTTGACAGCAGCTGGCGGTTGGGTTGACCTTCAAAACAGTTTCCAAATGAGCGAATATTGTCACTAAATTCACTTACTGAATATTTTATATCCAGTGTATATTCTACAACAAAATAACTTATAACATGCACTGGCAATGTATCACAGCTTTCAAAAACCTGAACACAAAATTAACTCTAAATAGTATAGTTTTAAAATCAAGATATGTATTTTCAAATCCAATGTTATTTCAGTTTTAACACATGTCAGAGAACGTTGGAGAACCATCAAAGACATGGAATGAAAGTTAATTGCATTTGAAAACAAATGCTTGAGATGAATGTTGAAAATAAAATGGTTCGGACATGTGTCAAGACTACCACCAGATAGTGCACCACAGAAAGCCCCATCACTCAGACATAATGGAAGCAAAGCTAGAAAGCCATGCAAACAATGGTTAGATGGAATATTCGAGGCCATAAATAAAAACATTTATGTAGTGCATAACAAGGCGCACACCCGATGCCTCTACAAAACCTGACACTGAAAGACAGAACAGGATCAGAGAAGAAGAAGAATACAGGAGGGGCGAAAAAATAAGAGAAATGTCTGTGCAACTTTGCAGCCACTGGTAACAACAGCTCTATTGGACACATCCTGATAAGAAACGAGCAGAGAATCACAAAAATGGAAAATATTGGAATTGAGGAATCGATGACCTCCTAAAAAAACCCTGAAATGAACACGAATGAGAGAGGCCAAAGCTGCTGGACTGGATTCCATCCATGATATTAAAGGGATTACAAGGGATAGAACAGAATGAGGAAATAGACTGCAACCTCTGTGTTACATTTAATGGCTCAAGGGATCAATTAAAAAATTTATATTCTATTCATATTTTTCTTTTCAGTCTCCAGATTGGTTGTTTTCAGACAAAAATACAATAGGTGTCACATGTCTTCCCTTAATCTGTACAGCTTGGTTTCACTGGAATACTTAATGGCCAAACCTTGGATTTCCCTACCGCATGTAGAGAGCATGTTTGTAAAAAATATTTGGTATTCTGGGATACCTGTCCACGTAGGGACAGATCTAAATCCACAGTCTTGAATTTCTTGTACATATACCTGCTGAATCTGTTGTTTCCATTTTTCAATCTAAATACGAAATATATATTCATACTGAACCTATTTTATGTCTGATTTATCTCTGATAAATCTTGGAACATGAAAAAAAAAAAGGTAGATCTTGGATGAAACGGAAATATGGTCTCTGATACTAATGTGCGCCACTGTAGCCTGGAGAGAACTGCGACGAGGCAGAGGCAGACCTCCGTGAAGGTAGATATGAGACTGTGAAGAGAGATTGGCTATGAAAGCACATAGGGCTTGAGAATTGGCTAGAGAGAGATGTTTGGGCATGCCAGGTAACATACCTGCAGATTCATTATGATGATCTTCAACGACCAGAGTAACTAACAAGATTTCTGCTTCTTTATTTTTATCTTCTGCATTCATCCAAAGATGTAATTGGGTTGTGCCCATTTACAGCATGGCTGTGATATTTGTGCTTTTTGGCTGACACATCCGACTTCTGCAGGCACTTGTTGACCAGGTTAGTCTTCCCAGTTTAAAAATATGTCATAGTAAAGGCTATTTTTTTATTTTTTTATTCTAACAATACATAACCATCCTGTTGGGGCTTTATACATTAGAAAGGACTCACAGCGTAGTCTTCAGTTCCAAAATATATCAAGGGTAAAGATTTCAGGAAAGATAATAATGTCACATGGCAAGACACAATGTGAGGATATTCACTGTACTGAAGGGCTCATTTCTTTCAGATCGCACAAACAGACAGATAGATGAACAGACAAATAAATATATAGACAGATAGATAGAGTGTGTGTGGAGACAGAGAGAGATTAACAAACACAGCAGATTTGTGTGTGAGATGTTACCAGTTCGCAGGGATGAACAGACAGACAGAGACAGATAAATATATATACAGATAGATAGCGTGTGTGTGGAGAGAGAGAAAGATTAACAAACACAGCAGATTTGTGTGTGAGATGTTACCAGTTCGCAGGGATGAACAGACAGACAGAGACAGATAAATATATAGACAGATAGATAGAGTGTGTGTGGAGACAGAGAGAGATTAACAAACACAGCAGATTTGTGTGTGAGATGTTACCAGTTCGCAGGGATGAACAGACAGACAGAGACAGATAAATATATAGACAGATAGATAGAGTGTGCGTGGAGAGAGAGAGATTAACAATCACAGCAGATTTGTGTGTGAGATGTTACCAGTTCGCAGGGATGAACAGACAGACAGAGACAGATAAATATATATACAGATAGATAGAGTGTGTGTGGAGACAGAGAGAGAATAACAAACACAGCAGATTTGTGTGTGAGATGTTACCAGTTCGCAGGGATGAACAGACAGACAGAGGCAGATAAATATATAGACAGATAGATGATAGAGTGTGTGTGGAGACAGAGAGAGAATAACAAACACAGCAGATTTGTGTGTGAGATGTTACCAGTTCGCAGGGATGAACAGACAGACAGAGACAGATAAATATATAGACAGATAGATAGAGTGTGTGTGAGATGTTACCAGTTCACAGGGATGAACAGATAGATAGAGTGTGTGTGAGGTGTTACCAGTTCGCAGGGATGAACAGACAGATAGATAGAGTGTGTGTGAGATGTTACCAGTTCGCAGGCTCCAAACAACCAGGTCCCCATTTCGCAGTCCAGTGACAGCCTCGTCTCGGGGCAGCACCGCAGTGCATTCTGGGCTAGCATCCAGTCGGAGAATGTTCGGATCAGAAATGTTGTATGATGTCAAGGTCATGTCGAATACAACAAACTCAGCAAAGTTGTCAAACGTGTTGACAAAGCCAGCTATCACATACCGGTCATTCTGTGGAGATGATAGAAAATACAACATTTCTGGGTACGTGTTGTCATGTAGCAAATAGAAGGAAACTAAATTGTTAGTTAGTTAGTTAGTTAGTTGGGTTATCCTCATTGCACTCCGGACATGTCCATAGGTGCTCAGATCCTCCCCTCAGTATGAACCCCAACGTCCGATGGCTAATAGTACCAGTTCTATATTGATTAACAAGTCTTCTGGCGTGTCGGGTGTGCGTCTCGTTTTTTGCTGTGCCGATCTTAATTCCCAAGTCTGCCATTCTGGCGAGTGATGTGGATTCACTGCCACCAAAGTCCTCTATCCTTCCCATTTCTCTGAGGGCATTGATAATATCAGCATGATCCATAGGCTGACCGTCGGTAGTGATAGCGGAAAGCTATCGTCGGTAGTGATAGCGGAAAGGAAACTAATACAAATACAAACTAAATATACACAAACGTAAAGGATCCTTTTCCACGCCTTTAGACGTGTTTGGCATATAGGGCTAGACCTTCAATTTATAGACCAATTGGCACTTGGTGGGTTGTGTGGTCAATATTGAGCTGGCCACCTTTACTTCCCAGGAACACCTGGTACCTACTCAAGTCTGGGTCAACCTGGGAGCTAGGACTTTTTTTTTTTAAGAAAGCGTGGTTTTGTCAAGACCTGAACCCAAGACCTTTTAATATATATAGTAACATTTAATTAAACTACAAATATGTTAAACACATTATCTGATTTCTTTAGTATATGGTGTTGTTTTTGTCGGTCATTGTTGTTGCAGCTGTTGGCACCTTTCCGTCTTTCCAGGCAATAGTGTTACATTGTGCTATAAAGATGCATGGTAGTCATATCCCCTGGTGATTGTGAGTCTGACTAGCAAGACCCGCCCATGTTTAGTAGAGTTTTCCCCAATTACAGTATGAGAATTTAGGACCGTTGTTGCTATCATATGTGTTTAGTGTGCTTCCTCTCAGATGCTCACCTCAGTATGTGTAACTTTACATAAAAAACATAATTTAGCATGGCCATGTTGATTCGTATGTTAGTTGCGTATCCTTTACAAGACGTTGCAGAACCAACCCTAACAGCCCCTTGCTGTTGTGTGGTTTCTCTAGGCAGTTAACGTATAGTAGTTTGCCATTGCTTTCCGGACGGTCGGCTTTCTTGATACCACTGTCGAAACCAACGCAAGGCGCATTGCCCGCAGCTGGGATCGAACCTGGCATCCCGGCATTACGAAGCGAAGCGTTCGCATCGACTTAGCCACAGAGCCGGCGTTGATTCGTATACACGAAGAATATATGTCACTCACACATAAAGGAAAACACATTATAGGAATATTTCCAGTTTTTCCAGAGATATACGAGCAGCACTGAGAGGTGCTGTGGCCAACTGAATTAAAATTACATCATAAAATCACTCATACATAATATTTAACTTTGACAGAAACCTTTTTCTTCTTCTTCACGTACACCAGCTGTAAACTTCTGTAGGAAGTTATGGTTATACGTCCACCTCTGGACTTAAGTCTTCTTCAAGAACCTCGGGTGTTGCATGCACATCTGTTTTACAGATCTTGACTATTTGTATGCAGACTGTTGGTTCCTTGCTTCACAGGCAGATACACTCTGACTTGAAAGAAACCCCTAAAAGTCGACATAGTTGTTGGGGAGACAGTGGGTCTATTCTTGTTTTCCCCACAATGGGGCTCCAGAAACCATACAGAAATGACAGAAACAATTTAAACAATAAACCTCAGGTATGATTCATAAATGTATTACAAGCATCTGATATAACAAAAAGAGCAGTTTTATAAGAAACACAACCAGTCAATATAGCATAGCATGAAATTTTATGCATACAATAATAGTTTCGATTGGCTTTGTGGTAGCGATGATGTAAACTTAATAATCTTGGTCTACAAATGCCACTTTATCATCAAGTTATTGTAAAGCCTTAAAATTGTTTCTAAAACTCAGTAAACTTGCAACAACAACAACAACAAAAAAACCATCTTCATATCACATCTGTAAAAATTTGTGAGGATGGTGAATTAATAAAAATGATAACGTTGTTTTGAGCAAAGCAATGTTCAATGACAGTGAAAAAAATAATTACATTTTTATCTGCAAATGCAACTTACAAATAAAAATGTCATTTCTTTTAACTGGCACTGTACTTTTGCGAGCACGCACACAAACACACACAAAAGATTAAGAATGTGTTCCTCATATTCTTACCTGTGACAGATTCAGGTAACTGATGTAATCATTGTTGCCAACAGGGGCATCATATCTCATCTCCTTGATTGGCTGGTTCCCCAGAAGGTCCCACACAACAATGTTGGACCCGCCTCCAAATTTATCAGATCGACCAAACAAAACCTTCTCGTTATCACTCATCACAGCAAGAGCAGAGCAGGTTTCCAGTTCTGACATGCCCAGTGGTAGTCCGGAGGCAAAATCCCAGGTCTAAACCAGACAGAAGTCAACAAATACAAAATGCTAAATATCTGTAAAATATCAGTTTGTAATATATACACACATATATAATATTTTTACATATTATATATATATATATATATATATATATATATATATATATATATATATATATATATATATATATATATATATATATATATATATATATATATATATATATATATATATATATATATATATATATATATCGCAGTCACCATAGCATAGCGGCTGAATACCAAGAAGGGAACTGTGATTTAAAAAAATAGCTAACATAGTTATCTTAAAAAGATTATCTCTTGCAGGCTAAAGATACCTAGCTTACTGAGCCTTCATGACGGTATTATCTGTATACCAGCAATAAAGGTTTGCATTAATTTGCTTTTTTTTTAATACAAAGTATTAAAATGATTTGAAAATAGTGGCCTCTAGGTTTAGCCTATAATCCCTGAAGAGTTCATTAACTTGTAAATTTGCATTAAAATGGAGCAAGTGAGGCTGCTGGATCAGAGCCAGATTTTAGACACTGCAGATCTTGGGACATGGCTTACACACTGCAGATCTTGGGACATGACTTACACACTGCAGATCTTGGGACATGGCTTACACACTGCAGATCTTGGGACATGACTCACACACTGCAGATCATTGGGCATGACTTACACACTGCAGATCTTGGGACATGACGTACACACTGCAGATCTTGGGACATGACTTATACACTGCAGATCTTGGGACATGACTTACACACTGCAGATCTTGGGACATGACTTACACACTGCAGATCTTGGGACATGACTCACACACTGCAGATCATTGGGCATGACTTATACACTGCAGATCTTGGGACATGACGTACACACTGCAGATCTTGGGACATGACTTATACACTGCAGATCTTGGGACATGACTTACACACTGCAGATCTTGGGACATGACTTACACACTGCAGATCTTGGGACATGACTTACACACTGCAGATCTTGGGACATGACTTACACACTGCAGATCTTGGGACATGACTTACACACTGCAGATCTTGGGACATGACTTACACATTGCAGATCTTGGGACATGACTTACACACTGCAGATCTTGGGACATAACTTACACACTGCAGATCTTGGGACATGACTTACACATTGCAGATCTTGGGACATGACTTACACACTGCAGCTGATGGTCAATGTTAAAACCCAGTCTTCCTGAGAATTCTTCTTTTTCATCTGTTATCTGTTTTACCTTGTTTTGTGGGTTACAGCTAGGCTGTGATATCCATGTCTTTTGGCCCACCATAATTGATTTCCGCACATCCCTAATTTGTTGTCGTCGCCTGAAACATGCTTGTTAAGGAAGGCAGTTGGTCTATTCCCTTCCCCCCCCCCCCCCTCCCCTTTCAACCACCTAAAACACACATAGGGATTCCTGAGAATTTACAACCAATCATTAGAAGCAAAAGCAAAAACTTACAATGTTGCAGTTGCTATTTCTTACCTGGAAAATATAATTGTGAACACCCTTTGGCACCGAGTACTGGTTGACCTCCAGGTCTGCATTGATGGCACCAACCAAAAGACGGTCATTACAGACTAAATGAAGGTTTGTGGAACCTACTGTCTCTCCTTGCATTATTCGTAACAGTTCCCCATTCTGTGGATGAATATTACACAAACTATATTAATCAAAATAATGTTTTTCCGTAATGAATTTAAAAAATGCGGGCACAAACAATACCTTGCACAAATTTATTGCCAGACATATTTTGCTGTATCTCGTCAGGTGCGTTATTACTTATGTTGATGTAACTCTGTAGTAACGTACCTGACAAGATGCAGCAAAATATGCCTGGCAATAAATTGTGCAATGTATTGTTTGTGTCCGCATTTTTTAAAATATTAATGTTAAAAAATAGAGGTAAAATAATAAGCTAATTCAATTAACAATGTAGGCGACATTGAGTGAATAATAATTATAATTCAAAATAAATGCAAAAGGCAACAGGAGCTTTTACAAAAATGACAAAGAGCCTTTCCAGCAAGCAATGATACAACAGACATCCTGGAAAAGACTAAAAGATGATGATATAAGGATCTTACAGTCCAGCTGAGGAGAAAAATGTCTAGTGATGACTGTGATTTTGATAAAATTGACAAATGAAGAGGATGACAGTGGACTCACCGACATATTCCAAACTTGAGGTGGTCCTAGACTAGAGCCCGTCACTACGCTGCGTCCATCATTGGTCATCAGACAACAGTCTACTCTGATCTCCTCTCCCATGGGGCCTGGGGTCACCAGAACATTGGAAGTGCTGCCCGCAGCGTAGCTGATGGGAAAATGGATGTTTATGGGAAATCCATCACATCGTTAATGTAATGGAATACACAGTTAAATCAGATCCATTTCCATACTTTGAGGTGCTGTGTGTGTTTGTAACTCCCTATTTTTAATACAATAATCAATGGGTGCTTTGTTCAATACCACTCTGAATAATCTTTACTGCCAAAACATTTCCTGATACACATTTTTGTGTGTGCATGTTTAGTTGACTGGGCCACCCATGTCAATTTTAAAAGTCTGCCTCAACTGGGGTTTCTAAAAAAAAAAGTCAGATAAGCAAGCTTAACTCTTTGAGTCCCAAGGAACGTATCACACACTAATTTGTTACTAACCAGCCACCCATATGACAGGTTACGCACACAAGTTTTTAATTTACTAATGGCCAGTATAAAAATGTAAACTGCACAACTGAATTTCCTCTCCAGTTCTTTGTGTTTGATACCACATGTTGGACCATCAGGTTTATTTGGAAATGTGATTAAAAGCCTAAAATATAGTAGGTTTGGGAGGTTTACCGAGTTAGCAAGTGTTTGTTTGAAAACAATACGGCCACTGAGCAGTATTATACATGCATGCAACACGATTTACCTCTTTAGAAGCCTAACATTTTAATAAAACATGTGTTTATTAGATTTATCCAAAGTTTGATGGAGAAAATTGCGAAGTAGACTTGTTGCAGTCATTTATAGAGTCAAACTTTGATGAGGGATGGCCCACATATGTACCTCATGCAGAGCATACAATAACAAAGTCAGTTGGTATAAAGAGAGAAATATTAGTGAAAAGGCAATATTCTTCAGTGTCAGTGCTAGTATTATTCCCCTTATTATTTAGTAACGTAGCTACAAAATTCAGACAAACTGAATGTTAATCAACATTGTATGTGTGTGAAGATACTAATTGTTTTGGGAAGTCGGTTTGCTTTACCAAATAATGGTGCTCTGTTATAATGTTGCAAACATTTCTCTGTAGCAAGATCTAATGCACAGAGTGCATTTATATTTTATTTGTACATTACTAAGTGGTTCTCGTTCATTCGTAATTCATTTTGGATATACTTTATCGAGTTTATCTTGAGCTAACGATATTGAACTGACTGAACAGGAGAGAAGGGAAAAATAGAATAGTCTGCGGACCCTATGCGACATATAATGGCACGACAGGATAATGAATGAATGAATGAATGAACGATATCTTGGTCTTTTACCTGTTTCTCCTTCTCATCTCCATGTAACTGATTTTTGTATAAGAACAGGCACATTCTCCGGAGAAATACCTCTGACCTCTTTCTTTATTGCCATGCAGTTTACTTGTGTATAACTGGGTCCATTCTTTGTTTAAATTGTTGAGTGGAGTTTGCATCGTGTCTGCATTATGTCTGTTAAAACACATTCTCAGAGTCTGTCATTTGATGGCTGTGCACTGAAGTACACCTGCTCCTGCCAACAGAAACTGTCACCACTTGGAGGTGGCAGATTTGAATCCATTTCGATAAGTACAGCTTTAAAATTCTTTGTTTTCAAGTGTGTCTCCTGCTTTCAGCTTGTCCCCTCTACTTTCATAAATGATGATCAATCCTTGTAAATTTACCTCCACTTTTGGCATCTCATGATTTTCGCTATCCTCCACCTCAGATCAACGCCTCAAAGAGATAAATTACACATACACTAAATCTTCAATGAACCATCACTCTTTTACTTTTAACCATCATCATCTTCACAAACAAACAAGCTCCTTTTAAACTGTCCACTGATTACTTTTAAACCCCATTGTATGAAGCTGGAAGAGACTGTTTTAAAGAAATGTAGGTTTACAGTATTACAATACATTTATGTGCATTACTACTAGGCCTATTACACTAAAGTTTAAATTGATTATTTTGTAAAATTTAATGCAATATGTAATTTAAAGAAAACGAAAATAATGTCCACAGATAAAACTGGCTGTCGCCCAAAAATAATAATAAATGGTGAAGAAATTGAAAATGTCACAAACTTTGAATATCTAATCTCTATAATAAATAGCAATGGAGACTGACGGAAATGAAAAGGAGGATAGCCTTAGTAATGCAAAGATTAAACAGCCTAAAAAGTGTATGGTTAAGCACCAGCAAGGAGATCAAAATTAGAATTTTGAGAGCATGCATCTTCCCTGTAGCAATATACTGATGTGGGTCATGGACTATCTCTCAGTCCTTAAGAAAGAGAATAGGGACTTTTGATCTGAAATGCTATAGAAAGATTCTCAGAATATCTTGGACGAAAAAGAAGAGAAATAATGACATCTTGAAAGATCTGAACATCAAGGAAGATTGGATAATAAACAGCATCCTGTCTCGAAAGCTGAAATATTTTGGTCATATCAAGCGCCACGATGGGTTGGAAAAAATTATAGCAGAAGGCATGGTACCAGGAAGGAGAGGCAGGTGCCGACCAACAAGAAGATGGACACACGATATTAGTGACTCCTTGAGTGTGAAATTGCCTGAGGTGGGAGAGCTGGCGAGAGACCAAGATTCTTTCAGGCAGACTGTGATAAGAGCGACGTTCTGCAAAGGACCTGCTACATGATGATGATGTATGTATTATTAACTTTTAGGGATTTTGTTTTCATTTTCATCCCAAGCCGACAGTGAAATCTAATTACTGTTCATATGTATTAAATAATTTGTTATCCATCTATTTGGTTATCCGTCACAGCCATGGTCTGGAAGGTGATGGTTAATTGAAGTTTTATCGTATAAACAACAAACAAAAACTTACCCAAGTGCTTGCTGCTGCCCACCAACTGTTTGTATTGTCTTCACAGAATAATTATAATTGGATGACATAGTGGATGTGGAATAGCCGCCGCCTCCAGCTGTTAACGTATTGCTCTGATAGTTGGAATGGACGCCTGGAAATAAACACATTCACTTCTAGAATGTTGCAAAGGATTATTGAATACAGAAAATATAATTTAGTGTGGGGTGCTGGGGTACATGAGGGAAAGACATGCTTCAACAAAACATCTTCTTCTTCTTCTTCTTCTTCTAGAGTTCACCAGCTGTGAATTCCAGCAGAAAGTTGTGGCTGTTCATCAACTTCCAAACTTTGCTATTGTTCCAGAACCTGAGTTTTGTATGTACATCTGTTTTATTTGCTTATTTGTATAGAAATTGTTGTTCCTTGCCTCTCAGACAGACACCTGCCAACTTGGAAGGAAACCACTCTAATTAGCCTTTCGAGACATGCTTGTTAAAGGCTGCCATATATTCTTCTGTTCTTCAATGAATTTGCTGCATGGTGTTGTTCCCACGGTCTGTCTGATAATATCATTTCTAACTTGGTCTCGGATGGTTAAGTTGGCAGTTTTTCTCAGGCATATCATTTCACTGGGGTTTATTTCACATAGGACAATGGGTATGGGTCTGTCCCTCCCCCCCCCCCCACTCCCCACCCCCTACATTATGGGGCCCCCTAGAACCCACACAGGAACAAAGAAATGAACAGTTAAAGACAATGGCCAGATGATACATTCCGGGCCAGTTTGGCTCTAGGACTAATAATATTATTCAAATGAGGCAGAGATCTTTGGATGTTAGTTTTTTTTTTTTTTTTTTGACAGAAAAGTTAATGATGCAGAAGATTAGTTAGAGGATTGTAAGGTTTCCCCACTGATTTATTCATCTCTGGATTTGCCTGAAATGTTATGATGTTGAGTCTTAAAACTCACAAAAGTATATCAAGAATAACCATGTGCATTATATTAACCCACAACTATGATCATCATTAGTTTTGAAACAAGATTCTATTTGTTTGTAATTTTTCCTTCACATTTTCTGCGTTGAAACAACAATTTAGAAAAAAGCATGATGAAATCGATATAAATAACAATTTACAAATGACTATACCTGATGCGACATCATAATCAGGATGAGTAACTCCTCCCTCAAACTGATATGCCTGTGTAGAAGCTCCGCCAGCACCAGCTGATCCAAGGGCACCAGATGTTCCCAGGGTGCTGGACTCAAAACCACTTGAAGATGTAGCAAACTGATGTCTTCCAGCTTTTGGAGTGCCGATAGCAGTTCCTAGTTAAATAAATGATAACAGGTTTTCTATATGTTTTACTTTCTGCAGGCCTGCCTACTATACTTACAACTATGAAGAGAAACCTCACCTCAAGAGCAAAGTGTGCAGAGCAAGATATGGAGAACCAGGAGGGACCTGCAACTGACATGCTTATACACTGAAGCAGTCTATCTGATAATCTGACCTGAGCATACGAAACCAAAGAAAAAGAAGAAAAAGAAGAAATGTTTTACTTACAATTAAACTAGCAAGGAAATCCACTGAATTTTTATTACAGCCTGTATTGATCATATTTCAGTGTAATGTAAGGCAGGGAATCCAAGTATTGGGACAGCTAGCTCCCCTCCCCCTCTTGCAGCAGAAGACTATCCCAAGCAGCACAAAGAAACATCTCACACAAAGCATATTTATAGCCACTCTACGATACTAGTACCAGACGTGATCACTCACAACAAACCAGAAAAGAAAATTAGTAACCATGGAAATGAGATAACTAAGAAGAGTTGCAGGGGTGATCAGAAGAGATAAAAATTAGAATTGAGATCATCAGAAAAAAGTCGGCACACAACCAATTCTTAATCACATACAAAGACAACAAATCAAATGGTTTGCTCACATACAACGGATCAACATCATGACACAAAGGTAGTAACCCATAACTGCTCCTTTCTGCTTCTTACTCAAGCACAAGTCCGAAGAATCTCAGCAAAGTGCATGAACTCCATAGCACCGGCGAGGATCCTGAAATACTTTGGGTAGATTTTCAACTCAAATTTTGCCCGGGCAGTGCGTTAGGCTACTCTTTTTCGATTTACAACTGTCAAGGTATTTTTACATGCGCAACAATACACACAGGCGTCCAGTTTTACTACCCAGAGACCAGGGGAAATTACTAGATGTCCACGTGAAAAACAAATCCCAACCTGTCGAAATTAACACAAGACCGTCTGCTGCCAAATCGCCTTACAGCTGGGATTGAACCCTGCATCCAGACATTACAAAGTACATTTGCAATGCAATGCCTAAGCCACAGAGGCAACTTCAGACGCCAGATAATAACGGTTTTACAGAAGTCTGCCAGCAGACAATAACAGTTTTACAGAAGTGTGCCAGCAGACAGTAATGGTTTTACAGAAGTCTGCCAGCAGACAATAACAGTTTTACAGAAGTATGCCAGCAGATAATAACTGTTTCACAGAAGTGTGCCAGCAGACAATAACCGTTTTACAGAGGTGTGCCAACAGACAATAATGGTTTTACAGAAGTGTGCCAGCAGACAATAATGGTTTTACTGAGGTGTGCCAACAGATAATAATGGTTTTACAGAAGTGTGCCAGCAGACAATAATTGTTTTACAGAAGTGTGGCAGCAGACAATAATGGTTTTACAGAAGTCTGCCAGCAGACAATAACAGTTTTACAGAAGTATGCCAGCAGATAATAACAGTTTTACAGAAGTGTGCCAGCAGACAATAATGGTTTTACAGAAGTGTGCCAGCAGACAATAACTGTTCTACTGAGGTGTGCCAACAGATAATAATGGTTTTACAGAAGTGTGCCAGCAGACAATAATTGTTTTACAGAAGTGTGGCAGCAGACAATAATGGTTTTACAGAAGTCTGCCAGCAGACAATAACAGTTTTACAGAAGTATGCCAGCAGATAATAACAGTTTTACAGAAGTATGCCAGCAGACAATAACAGTTTTACAGAGGTGTGCCAGCAGACAATAATGGTTTTACAGAAGTATGCCAGCAGACAATAACAGTTTTACAGAGGTGTGCCAGCAGACAATAACAGTTTTACAGAGGTGTGCCAGCAGACAATAACAGTTTTACAAAAGTGTGCCAGCAGACAATAACAGTTTTACAGAGGTGTGCCAGCAGACAATAACAGTTTTACAGAGGTGTGCCAGCAGACAATAACAGTTTTACAGAGGTGTGCCAGCAGACAATAACAGTTTTACAGAGGTGTGCCAGCAGACAATAAGGATTTTACAAAGGTGTGCCAGCAGACAATAACAGTTTTACAGAGGTGTGCCAGCAGACAATAACAGTTTTACAGAGGTGTGCCAGCAGACAATAACAGTTTTACAGAGGTGTGCCAGCAGACAATAAGGATTTTACAAAAGTGTGCCAGCAGACAATAACAGTTTTACAGAAGTATGCCAGCAGACAATAACGGTTTTACAGAGGTGTGCCAGCAGACAATAATGGTTTTACAGAGGTGTGCCAGCAGACAATAACGGTTTTACAGATGTGTGCCAGCAGACAATAATGGTTTTACAGAAGTGTGCCAGCAGACAATAACGGCTTTACAGAGGTGTGCTAGCAGACAATAATGGTTTTACAGAGGTGTGCCAGCAGACAATAAGGGTTTTACAGAAGTGTGCCAGCAGACAGCATTGCGGATGTTCTAGTAAATGTTTTCTTCTACTTGCAGCCACATACATGGTGACTAAACTAGCAAAATTATATAATGAACTCTACTATTTTGTTTTGTATTTTTTAATGTGTTACAGTTTGGAGTTTTAGAGTTGGTTAAATGGGCTAGTATTTCTATATTTCTTTGTGTTACAGAGAGCGACACTGTAGAACGTGTCCGGTAAATCTAACCCAGGCAACAAATGCCTGCAGAAGTCGGATGTGTTAGCTGAAAGGCATACAAATTGCAGCCATTTTGTAAAGGGGCACAGGACATTTACATCTTCAGATGAACACAGAAGAAAAAAAGGAAAAAGAAGAAGAAGATGAAGATGAAGAAGAAGAAGAAGAAGCAGCAGCAGCAGCAGAAGAAGAAGAAGATGAAGAAGAAGAAGAAGAAGATGAAGAAGAAGAAGAAGAAAAAGAAGAAACAGCAGAAAAAGAAGGAGGAGGAGGAAAATAATAACAAAGAGTTCAGCAGCTAGTCTATTAATCTAAATTTCTATAGTGCTGAAGCAGACAGATAAAGCCTGCCCATGTGTTTATTCAGTCTACTATGCCTTATCCTGAGTCAAACAATGGTGATCTGTCGCCAAAGTTGAAGACTGATGTAGCTGTAATCAGAGCAAGACTTAGACATCAAACATCGAACAGAAGCAGCTAAAATTATTGAGCAGAAACCAGCCAGTATCAGCACTGATGGGGTACATAGTGGTAAGAGATAGAGAATGCTTTATGGGACTAACGGGAACTGGGATGGAAGACAGGGCCATGTAAGCGTGTTTCAAAATGAACAGGCAGATATGCTGGCTGGACTGGCTCCACTGGAAAATGAGTAGTGGGGGCATTGAAACTGCACAAGGCAAAGGTTATCTCCCACCTGTTGGACAAGGTAACAAATAAAATGGTAGATACTGAAAACCCGTTTCTGGAGTGAATGATGCAGCAGAGAGTGTATCTGAGCATCGCTCCAGACAGGGGGAAGGGCGGGAAGCAAGGGATGTAGTTAAACAGATGAAAATGGGAATCATCAATATGGAGACTGTTCGCTGGACTTTTCCTAAATCCTGCGATGTTGAATCTTTACCAAGATGACTCAGAGGAAAATATGATATTTTATAGGACATAAAAAGGCAGACTAAGAACATCTGACAGAACGTGAGGACAGAGAATTGGCAACCATGATCACCAGACAAGAAGGCAATCATACTAGCAACTGTGCAACCACATGTCCCCCTGTAAAAATGAAGTCATTAACTCTACTACAAGATAAAAGTAATCAATACCTTTATTTGAAAATGTTCCTGTAGCTCGTAAAGTGGCTGAATCATAACTGTCGCTGCGTTGGTGCCCACCTGATGATGTTTGCTGAGAGTAGTAGTAGGCGCTGCTGCTTCCACCACCAGCCCCTCCACCACCACCACCACCTCCTGCACCACCTCCTCCCCCTGCAGCAAAACCTTGAGCCTGACCACCATTCACCACTGTCACTCTGGAGGAGGCACCACCTGTTGTGACAAGAGAGTTTTATATTATCTTAACATTAACTGGTCTATTCTTTGATCTCTACCTTTTGAACTGTTACTTCCAAGACTCATCAAAACAAAAATACAAGGAGGCTTCAAATGAAAACCTTACAAGTTTGACAGAAATTACAGTAATCATGTCATTGTCTTGTAACCTGTCAGTACCGCTGTTAACTCTTTGAGTCCTAGAGGGTTTAGCATCACAGGTTCAAGAGGTAGTCAAGAGAGACGTAAAATCAGCGCATCATGTATTGATTGGGCTTCTAGGCAGTAACCTATGAACGTATGATGCGTTCCTTGGGACTCAAAGAGTTAAGGATGACAAGGATTGGAGACATTAAAGACCTTCTACGTCAACACGTCATGACAATAGCCACTGTTACCCATCAAGCAATGGATTGCATACTGTTCCTCCCCACCACACTTAATGGCAAAAGGGGAATTTGTTGACCGATGAGTTCCATCACTAAATCCTCCACCTCCTCTTCATGCAGCAAAGCCTCAAGCCTGACCACCATTGACCAGACTAACCCTGGACACAGCACTGTTTGTTGTGGCAAGAAAGTTTATAATGTCAGAACACTGATTGGTCTGTTGTTGTCTGGGCTCCCTTATTTAAACATTAGCCCAGTATCACTGAATGAAGAAGCCTGACCTATATCAGGACCCCATGATAGGAGAGGATGGATAACCAACAAAGGATAAAGATCTCAAAGATATACGACAGGATACAGTAACTCAAGAGGACCATTACCAGACAGGATATAAGAACAGTAACCTAATCATAAATAACAATCACACACAAATAACAAAAAGTACAGGCAGGAAGATGGGCAAGCATTATGAAACCCGGACAGGATGACAGAAGCAACAAAAAGTACAGGCGGGAAGATGGGCAAGCATTATGAAACCCGGACAGGATCACAGAAGCAACAAAAAGTATCCAGGCAAACTCAGACAGGGCAACATCATGAACAATTAGGGACATTGAGCCACCACACCCAGCACAACAAACTTTTTACGCCATTAAACTTGATGCAAATAAAATCAGACTATAATTATAACAGTAACTATCTTTGTCTGGTTTGAACATTTTTGCCATTTTTTTTTTTCCAAGGAACCAACCAATCATTACTGAATGAACTCGGTGTAATCCCGACACACATAGAAAGTAATGTGAGGTCCCATACCTGCACTAGCACCAGCTCCTGCCCCACCGGCTGCCGTCACAGCTGAGATGTTGGTTCCTGCCCTATGTACAATGTTGAGGGGTGACCCTACAGGAGGTTTCAGACAGGTGCACCAGCCCGGCTTGCACCTGCAGCAGATAACATGTCAAAGTTCATGCCAGTTACTATGGTAACCAATGAACTGACATTTATGCATTGTGTGTATATCTGTGTGTGTGAGAGAGAGTGTTTATGTATTTATCTGTATGTACTTATTTAGAGTTAATTGTTTTGCCTTGTTCACAAGACAAAATATGAACATCTATGAAGGAATAAACAAATATATCAAAGCTTCACAGGATAATAATGAATGTAGAGACAGACAGACAGACAGACAGACAGACAGACAGACAGACAGACAGACAGACAGACAGACAGACAGACAGACAGACAGACAGACAGACAGACAGACAGACAGACAGACAGACAGACAGACAGACAGACAGACAGACAGACAGACAGACAGACAGACAGACAGACAGACAGACAGACAGACAGACAGACAGACAGACAGACAGACAGACAGACAGACAGACAGACAGACAGACAGACAGACAGACAGACAGACAGACAGACAGACAGACAGACAGACAGACAGACAGACAGACAGACAGACAGACAGACAGACAGACAGACAGACAGACAGACAGACAGACAGACAGACAGACAGACAGACAGACAGACAGACAGACAGACAGACAGACAGACAGACAGACAGACAGACAGACAGAGCCTGTTCTACCATCACAAAAAAGATGATAAAGTGGTTTCTAGATATCGAAATTAACTGTGGATATGTTAAATAAGTTGCCGTGGACTGACAGAGTCAGAGGTCACTGACACGAGTTAATAGACCAACAATTTATAAACAATATTTTGAAACTATGAGCAGGCCAGATGTGCATATTTCCTATTTCTCCTCATCATCTACTGCTACTTTGCAGGGTCTATGGATTCAGACAAAGGCTGTTGAAGAAACACCCTAAACAGACTTGTGGAAGTCAAGGGAACATTACCAGTGTACACATGTACAGCAAATCAGGCTTTTCAATAAATTAATTCATATAATGTGATACAAATCATCATATCTGATAACAGAGCTTTGCAAATGATACATGTCATTTGTTACATGTCATCTGAAATGACATTCTAGCACATTGTTCTGACCCATTTGTGCTTCGTCCTCTGAAATAGCAGCCATCTCAGCCATGATCAGCGTACACAGAAGGAGTTGACTGGCATATCCTATTTCTTTGACCTGCAACTTGTTTCTGCATGTTTGTCCTCATTCAGTACCCATTTAGAAAAGGCGGTTCATCGTCTCTGACTCCTTTGTCTCAACATCACAGGAATGCAGCGCATTCAGTGTGCCGGCCCTGTCCATACTTCTTCCTTTACTAACTACTGCAAATGTCTGTTGGCTTTTTTATTTCATATCACTTCATTGTGTCCCGATGTGTACAGCTAGTTTCTTGAGGAAGTACTTCTTGATGCTGTAAACCCATGCTAGTTAGAGTTTGTCAGTTTGGATGTTGTAAAGCATGCTCATTGTGTCTGTCCCTATCAGTGTGTGAACTGCTGTCTGCTCTGTCAGCCATGCAGTGCCTATGTCTTTTTCTTCCTCTTCGATTCTTCTGTCAGAAAACTTATATCAGAAGGCAGGCAGCCTTTATGAAAGCTATTGTGCAATCCAAATCTTTCTGTGTAGCATACAGCTTTGTCTTCATTGAGGTCTGAACAAGCCAAAATTATGTAGCTATTGGCAATGTACAGGCTAATGCACATGCTCAGCATTTTCTGGTGCCACTCTGCAGGGACATGTCTCCATGTTTCCTATACTTAAAACTTTGAACAGATGTTGGTGAACTCTGTTGTGCCCTATTCTTAGTTTGAATTTGACACACCATTCCTCTAGTGCCCCTGTGATGGCTGCTATCTCCATTGTCATCCTATAATTAGCTCAGCCGAATGCCTGCCTTTTTTCTTGTCATCATCATCATGTAGAAGGTCCTTTGCAGAACAACGCTCTCATCACAGTCTGCCTGAAAGAAACTCGGTCTCTTGCCAGTTTTCCCACCTCATGTACTTTCATACTCAAGGAGTCCTTGAGGGAAGATGCATGCTCTCAAAATTCTAATTTTAATCTCCTTGCTGGTGCTTAACCATAGACTTTTAAGGCTGTTCAATCTTTGCATTGCTAAAGCTATCCTCCTTTTAATTTCTGTCAAACAGTCTCTATTGCTGTTTATTATAGAGCCTAGATATTCAAAGTTTGTGACATTTTCAATTTCTTCATTATTCATTGTTATTTTTGGGTGACAACCAGTTATATTGTAGAAATTATTTTCGATATTATTTTTAGCTTCCATTATGAGTTTCTTGGGATAGTAATGTGGTAGTTTCCTGTTGCTTTCCACATCCACATGGCTTTAGACTACGTCTTCAGTCTTCTGCAACCTATTCAATTACTAGGGCAAGTAAGTGCCCTGCTTCATGATGCTCCTGCTAACAGCAGAGGGCACCCCAGAGGTTTCCACTTATCCCGGCAGATACTCGGTCCCCATAGCTGCGTTGGCCACACCGCAGTGTGTTTACCGTCCTTTACCGCATGGAGTTGCAGTTGGGGTTTTTCCTTCACTGAGTCTTGAGACCAGAATGGCATTTCTCAAAACTCTCCAGTACTTTCAGAGGACTTGTCGTTTTATGTCAGCAACAACTAGGTATGCCCTCACCTAGGCCATCCTTTGTCTAATGACAATGTTTAACAAGTCAAGGATAAATTGCAGGGCACAACATGAAGTGTTTCCTGTGTCACTGAGATCAGTCTTGTGGCTTCGTTTTGCACTTTTCCTAGTCTTTCCAGCTGACGTCTGCTGGACTAAGGAGGTCAATCTCCCAGTCAGTTACTGAGAACACTAAACAACACAGCAAAATAAACAACAGTCAGAGTTCCATCTTTGTTGCTACCAATTACCCTGAACATCGCCAGGCCTTTATTAGCATTTGCTAAATGTAAATCAAGTAAAATTGAACAAATGAATAAAGAACAAATGTAGTTTAATAAATGAAACTGGAAATATAAAGACAATTAATCATGTAATATGTAGGCATGAGCTGCAACACAAAACATACCTATAGAAAGCCCACATAAGACTGCTGGCCAGCGCAGCAAGTCCCAGGATAGTCCCCATGACTGCACCTGCTCTGGGACCTGTTGCCGGCAGCGATGGAATCACTGCAACTTGTGCTGCTGCCACTGGACCTAGAAATCAATACAGTAATATTACTTTTGTGGGATTTCATTTTTTATATTTCACTTCTTAAACTATTGATGCCTACCTACGTAAAAAACATGACTAAACCTATGTATTTTTTCAACTGTATACACAGACTTGCTTGTACTCTGCGCTCTGAGTCTTCTTATGGTGTGATTTGCAAAAGAGACTTGAAGCACTGTGGGATAGCTTCAAAGGGTTTCGACATTAGCCTTTGAGTCCTGTAAATTTAAATCCTTACAAGAATAGACCCACTGCCTCCCCAACAAACACTGTTGTAGGAGTTGACTAATTGGAGGTTTCCTTTGAATATGGAATGCACTTGCCTGAAAGGCAAAGAACCAACAGTCTGCATACGAATGAGCCAGATCTGTTTAATAGATTTGCATACAATACTCAAGTTCTGGAAAAAAGACTTAAGTCCAGAAGTGGACGAACAACCAGAACTTTTTGAGGTTACAGCTGGTGAATGAGAAGAAGAAGATGAATAAATCCTCACATAAATAACATGTTTATTATGAAGAGATTTATTATCAAGAGATGGACAATCATCAGTCTGAAAGAGTGTACAAGCAAGATAAGGGACAGGTGTGTGTTAAAGATCTATTGCAACTATACTTCATTGTGGAGAGAGCACATAATAAATTGACTGATGATATTTGTTATCAGTATCAGATCAAAAGTGTGGGTGCTAATTAGTGGATTTGTCTACACAAGAGACATGTTTTATTAGACCTAGACAAAAGGTTAGTATGAAAAGCTGATGTGGAGAAGTAGGATCACATGTGCCAGATACTGGAGCCGTTGATGATGATGGTGATGATGATGCTGATGACGATGATGACAACGATGATGACAAAGACTATGATGATGATAGAACTTATACACAGAAAAAATAAATAAATCAGGAAGTGGTAGAGAAAAATGTCCATTATTAGATGTGTTTTGTATCTGGAAAGGTTTCACTTGAGCAAGGGTTGTTTGAGGAAGTGCTCTGCTTAAGAAAGGAGACCACAGCCTGGGTCAGAATATGCAGACTGACCTCAATCAACTTTGCAGCTTTGTATAGAGCTTCTCAGTAAGTAAATGTTCTGTGTGGGGAAAAATGTATGTTCTGGGAGTGGTTCATGTAAGAAAGTGCATTTATGTTGTTGTTGTTGTGATATCACTTTTTAACGACTTAAATAAACATTTTGAGATCATTTGTCCCATGACAACTTATGGATGTCAGTCCAAGCTTTTGAATCAAAATGTTACAGAAGAATTCTTATAATGTAATGAACCAAGAAAAAGAAAAACATAGACATCCTTCATGATCTGAACATCGAAATCTGGCACATAAACAGCATCCTAGCGTGAAAGATGAGGTATTCTGGCCATGTAAACATTATAGTGTCCTGTCTGAGGGATGGAGAAAATGGGGAGGGGGGTAATTGAGGCTACAGTTTCTAGAAAATGATAAAGAGAAACAAGACATTGAAGATGCTTAACTATGACAGCAGATTTGGCTGGAGAATTTTCTAGAAAAAGAGAGACTTTCAGGCCTGCAGCAGTGAGAGTGATGTTCTGCAAAGAATGTGCTTATTGATGTTGATATTCCTTGGAAAAAAAGCTGTTTACTACTTACCCCCGCCAGCTGAAGGAAGGATACCAGGCATGATCCCAGATGAGCCTCCGCCACCTCCAGGATAAACCCAAACACTGACACCACTAACACCACCGCCGCCACTGCCACCGCCGGCGCCGCCACCACCACCACCAGAGATGCCACCTGCATTGCCGATCCAGGCAATTCCACCACCACCGATGTCAGCTGGGATGATAGGAATAACTGGTGTTGGTGGTCGTCCAGTTACTGTAACAAAAATAATGATAGAAGAATAACTGGAGTTGGTGGTCGTCTGGTTACTGTAACAAATACAATGATAGAGGAATAACTGGTGTTGGTGGTCATCCAGTTACTGTAACAAATATAATGATAGAGGAATAACTGGTGTTGGTGGTCGTCAGTTACTTTAACAAATAAATGATAGAGGAATAACTGGTGTTGGTGGTCGTCGGTTACTTTAACAAATAAATGATAGAAGAATAACTGGTGTTGGTGGTCGTCGGTTACTTTAACAAATAAATGATAGAGGAATAACTGGTGTTGGTGGTCATCCAGTTACTGTAACAAATACAATGATAGAGGAATAACTGGTGTTGATGGTCGTCTGGTTACTGTAACAAATACAATGATAGAGGAATAACTGGTGTTGGTGGTCGTCGGTTACTTTAACAAATAAATGATAGAAGAATAACTGGTGTTGGTGGTCGTCGGTTAATTTAACAAATAAATGATAGAGGAATAACTGGTGTTGGTGGTCATCCAGTTACTGTAACAAATACAATGATAGAGGAATAACTGGTGTTGGTGGTCGTCTGGTTACTGTAACAAATATAATGATAGAGGAATAACTGGTTTTGGTGGTCGTCAGTTACTGTAACAAATACAATGATAGAGGAATAACTGGTGTTGGTGGTCGTCTGGTTACTGTAACAAATACAATGATAGAGGAATAACTTGTGTTGGTGGTCATGGGTTACTTTAACAAATAAATAATAGAGGGATAACTGGTGTTGGTGGTTGTCGGTTGCTTTAACAAATAAATTATAGAGGAATAACTGGTGTTGGTGGTGGTCGGTTACTTTAACAAATAAATGACAGAGGAATAACTGGTGTTGGTGGTGGTCGGTTACTTTAACAAATAAATGATAGAGGAATAACTGGTGTTGGTGGTCGTCGGTTACTTTAACAAATAAATGATAGAGGAATAACTGGTGTTGGTGGTGGTCGGTTACTTTAACAAATAAATGATAGAGGAATAACTGGTGTTAGTGGTCATCGGTTACTTTAACAAATAAATGATAGAGGAATAACTGGTGTTGGTGGTCATCGGTTACTTTAACAAATAAATGATAGAGGAATAACTGGTGTTAGTGGTCATCCAGTTACTGTAACAAATACAATGATAGAGGAATAACTGGTGTTGGTGGTGGTCGGTTACTTTAACAAATAAATGATAGAGGAATAACTGGTGTTGGTGGTCATCGGTTACTTTAACAAATAAATGATAGAGGAATAACTGGTGTTAGTGGTCGTCGGTTACTTTAACAAATAAATGATAGAGGAATAACTGGTGTTGGTGGTGGTCGGTTACTTTAACAAATAAATGATAGAGGAATAACTGGTGTTAGTGGTCATCGGTTACTTCAACAAATAAATGATAGAGGAATAACTGGTGTTGGTGGTCATCGGTTACTTTAACAAATAAATGATAGAGGAATAACTGGTGTTGGTGGTCATCGGTTACTTTAACAAATAAATGATAGAGGAATAACTGGTGTTGGTGGTCATCGGTTACTTTAACAAATAAATGATAGAGGAATAACTGGTGTTAGTGGTCATACGGTTACCAGAACAAATATAATAGTATAAGAATAACTGGTATTAGTTGTCGTCCAGTTGATTGTTGTGAGTTTCTGTCTGTCAAAAAAATTAGGAGGGAGAGGGTGTTGTTTACTCATTTGTTTATTCTTCTCCTTCAAATTATGTTCATTTATTCATTCTCTGTATCTCTCCTCTCTGTCTCTCTCTTTCTCAAATACAAAATTATTTGTTTATATGTTTTTTCATTTGTTTAACCCCCCCCCCCCCCCCCCCCCCCCCCCACCCCCCCTCCCCACCCCCCCGGGGCCAACATTTGTATAATCATTCTCTCTGTCTCTCACTTTGTTCATATTTTCTTTTCATTTGTTTTCATCTTTTTTTTTTCCATTCACTAATTTATTCTCTCTCTCCCTACCCCCTTCTCAGTTTAAATGTAAAAAAAAAAATCACAAGGAAGGCCAAAAATACTCACTTGGAGGTATCACAGCTGTTGGTGGTGGAGAAGGAGGAACAAAGGTTCTGTTTGAAAGAAAAGGACATTGAATTACCAAACAAACATCAAGCTGATCATTATTATTTGATCCTCCGACAGCCGGAGTCACAAGTTTTTCACTGTTGTTGCACGTGTGTTAATGAAACTGGCATATCTTCATTAGTTCACCTGTGTCTACAGACAGTGTGCTGGTTATGGAGGCGTCTGAAGGTAAGAAATGTTTTGAAACATCTGCTAGTCTTAAAGATACTTTAAAGAATGTTTCCTCTTCCTGTCCATTGTAATGCTTGAAGTATGAAGCATCATCATCAGGTGGCAGGTTCTTTGCAGAATGTTGCTCTCATCACAGCCTTCCTGAAAAAAAAAAAAGCTCGGTCTCCCATGAGCTCTCCTCTCTCTCCACTTTTATATCCAAGGAATCACTTATATTATGTGCTGATCTTCATGTTGGTGGCCTCAGCTCCTCCTTTCTGGTACCATGCCTTCTACTATTGTTTTTCAAATCTGCCGTGTGCTTGTTATGGCCAAAATATTTCAGCTTCCGAGACAAGATGCTGTTTATCAGCCAATCTTCCTTTACTTATGTAATTTTTGCGACTGAGAGATGCAGAGGAAGGACTAAAGATAGCAGAAGAGACTAAACAATTCACTTGTTGTCTAATGTGTCCTGCTTTTTCTAATTCAGTACTCTGTATCTTTTAGTATCCACAAATACATATTAAAATATTATCATCAACATCAAGTGTCTTGCTGACTGGCAGGGGTGATCATGCCTCTCCACAAACTGCAATCTTCAACAGCATGTATCAGTCTGGATCATAGCAACAAGCAATAAATTAACAATATCAACGACTGTACGTACATCGGTTCAAGCTTGAAGGGATGTGGGGCCACTATCACATCACCGATAAACTCTGTGCGCACATTTTCCGCAGCATATGGGAAAATCAGATGACCGTTCACATACAAGCCTGTGTTTAAATGAAAAATAAATAATTAGTTACCCAGAAAAGCAAGGATGAAGTGGCACTATTTTACCAACAATTACAGTTGTTCAGAACATTACAGGCTGAGACATCAATACCTTCCAGGTCTGACTCTCACACCACTGTCTAAAAATATACTCTAAACTGATTCTCCCTATCTGATTTACACTGCAAAACCTGTACATTTCACTACTGCATGATTAACAGGTAAATTTTCTTTGATTCCTCTTCAGTGTTTGTTCTGAAGTAGATAATAGGAATCTTCTGTTGCTGTGCACCATACATTTCATAACTTTGTTGACTGAAGAGTAGCTGGCCAAATGCTAGGCTATAATTCAGGAGACCCAGGACAAATCTTCTGTAAGGTGATGCTTTTTTTTTATGTCGGTGAAAAAAATAAAATCCTAATACCTAGACAGTTTGTGGCAACTGCACAAGCCACACAAGAAATTCTCAGGCTCAAGATCCCCGCCCCCTACTACCCTCAACTGGTTCTACACCACCGAAAATGTGGTAAACACAGTGTTCAAGAGAAATCATCTAAAATTCACTTATCTTAATATCTCAGAAGTTGTTCCTTCCTTCTGTTTTGCAACATTTTTCTAAAAACAAAATCACATCCCCATAAAAAGCTAAAATATCAAAAACACAATATTCAATATTCTTGAATAAATATATTAAAACTTCTGGTAACAATAATTCACTAGACCACCACACTATTATAAACACTAAGCATTAAAAACATCTTGGTCACAAAAATTAATGAAGCAGACGACAGATCAATAGTCACTCCAGTGAGTTGTGATAAAAGCAGCATTCCCCCTCCCTCTTACCCTCTCCCACCCCAAAGAAGTTGTCATAAGAAGATGAGGTTTAAAACAGTGAAATAACCACAAAACACTGACCACCAATAATGCCATGGAAGCCAGACCCGCCAACAATCTTTCCTCCTTGGTACACTCCTCCAATGAATATCTTGCCCAAACGATCAAAGGCATGATGAGAAGCTGTGAAACAAGCACAAATATCAATAGCACAATAAGTACAAAACAAATAGAGCAAACTATTGTGGAAGTTGAGTAACAATGTATCAACTTTCCTGATTTAATTATTCACCTATTAAAAATTTAATGGTTTTTATTTGTTGTCATCACAGTATACACAACAGTTATTGTATTTTTTTGTGTGGTTTTTTGTTGTTTTTTTTTAATTATTTCAGAATTCATATTTTTAACACTGAAATTTCATCAAAATCAGTTACCCTCCCTCCCCCTTTGCACCCAATGTGTTTGTGAGGAGCTAAGTTGTCCTCCTTTACCAAGTGCAGAAGTTAAATATTAAAGTATTTGCATATACATTTCATATTCTTTCAAGTATATTGTTATATTTATTTACTATCAGGCACATTATCATTGTTGTTATTATTATTATTACACATTTAAACTAGGATTAGGCTCCGTGAGTCAAGCCCCCTTTGCCTATACAATCTATAAGGCATGGTGGGAAAGGGTGGAAACCCCCCGCCCCTTCCCACAATTTTCTTTGTATCCGCACCCTTACTCAGGAACATTGAGGGCCATGGAGATGTGCCACTGGTTTTGGGAACACCATCTGTTATGACGGTATGTAAAGTCCTATGTAGGACTGGAAATCTCTGCAACAGTCTTCATACAAATGTTGATACTCTATTATACTAAGGCAGATTTTCTCTCAGACATCGCTTCTTTATAGCTTGCTGTGTTAGTCCTCTTGCAAAAACTGTGACAGTCCGCCTTTCACTGTCTGCCTCCAGAGGAGTTCATCTGCAGATGATCTCTTCCAAGTGTCAGTATCAATATTGATATCTTTCAGGTCAAGTTTCCATTTGATTTTATAGCCTAGCTTTGGTCTTCTTGAAGATCTTTTTTATTTTATTTTCATTATACAGAAGATCCTTTGGAACACTTAAAGAAAGAGTCAACTTCTGCAAGAAATGTTAGGAGTTTGTCACACTGTTGTAGAGTAAAACAAGATAAAAGCCTTACTAAGGTGAGTGTTGAAGTTGACTCCACTATCAACATATAGTGTTCCATTATCCTTTGTCCTAACAAATCGGATGACATGGTAGCCTCCATCACTGACAAACACGTCACTAGTTATGCTGGTAGACAACTTCTGCCCACTTGTATCGTACGTAACAACCGGGTAACCATTTACCTGAAAATCAAGAGAAGATAACTCTGAATTACTAGAATCAAGCAAAAATAACTATACCTTATTAGAAGAAATAACTCTGAAATGCTCAAATCCATTATTTTTTTACGGGGCAGTAGTCTGCTTTAGTAAACTGTTTGTAAATGATCCCTTTATTTAAAAATTGCTGCCTCCGAACGTGCTACGTTTTCTTTCCACTAATTTTACAAGGAGACTGAACACCAACTGAACTCTGTGACCAGGTCTGTGTCCATACCAATTTGTTAATCATTATTTCACAGAGGAGCAGCAGTAGTGTAGTGTCTAGATACTCACCTGAAGGCCCGAGGGTCTTGGGTTCAGATCCAAATCTAGCCAGATTTGTTTAAAAAATGTGTACCAAATAATGTCCCAGGAAGCGAAAGGCAGCTGCCATGGTGTTGACCAAACAGCCATCAAATGCCAATAGGACTTCACAAATATGACAATTTCACAGGCCTCAAATGTTTCCCAACAAATGATACTTTTAGGTTTTTAATTCTAGATTATAATTTTAGATTTTTAATTCTAGGTTACAATTCTAGGTAATATTTTAAACTGCTCATTAAGTGACTTACAGTTATTTTAATTTTATTTTACTAAAAAACATATTTCAATATTTACTTGTCTCAAAACTTACTCATTTTTTAGTTATGCTCTTGTCTGCCAATCCTCTTTCTTACATGTAACAACTTCCTACATCACATATGACTCAGATAAGTGATTTTGTGTATCCATGTTTATAATTGTATCTTTTCATGTCATATGCTGTTTAAACTCTTTACGGACTGGGCCCCACTTTAGTGGCTTTTGAATCCACCACATTCAGACTGAACGCCACTATAATGGCACTTCATAGAGACACTTTAATATTGTTTCGTTTGCTGGGAAAAGGAATTTGTATAAATATGTTTTGAAAAATAGAATTAGCAAACGAAATCCTTTTGTTTCAAAGTTTAATGTGGTGTTTGGGTAACTTTCTGATCTGTTTTTAATTAATTAGATGTAATACAATTTTTATGTTATATTGTATGGACCAAATGATATCGGAAAAGGTCTAGAACTGTTCATACTACTCTTTCATTGATGAATCTCAGCCAGATAGTGACAAATCTTTATATTATGATTGATAATGCATATGCCAAATCTATTGCCGATAATATAGGTTAGGCTGAAGTTGAAAAAAATATTTCAGTTGGATCATCCCTGTTTCAATCAGCTGTGTCAGGTATCAGGCTGTTGTAAAATTTGACCTATCACTGTTATGAAGCAACTGCTTGTAAGGCACCACCTCCTGGTGAAGTGTCTAGCGGTGAATGATTAACACTTCACCTATATATACGCAAATGTTCCCAAGTCGACCTTCTTACGACTAACTGGGTTCTTTACCTGAGAGTACATAACGAACACAGTTCACATAGTCACATCTATCTCTAACACTCTGTCACCAGTATCACGGCAAAACATAAGTCAATTTATTATTCATCAAACATAAGGGGACGACGATTGGTGGCAAACATGTCAATAATAACGTTCACTAAAAATTATAATTCTCCATGGAAATAGACAATACACATGCCCACAAACCAAAGGCAAGTACGCCCTTATTCGTCCGTCATCTATGGCTGACAGAGAGGCACTGCCTCCTTCACGAGTAACCTTCAGCAGCCAACCTTCAGATCTCACAATTCCTGAGAAGCTGCAGTTATCCGTGAAAGTGTAGAACCACTTGTTTAGTGTGGACCTTTTGCACTCGTCACTATCCTCATCTTGCAATGTGGACTGTTTGCACTCATCACCATCAATATTATCATCATCATCTAGCACGTTTAAGACTGGCACATGCGATCCCACCTCTGTAGTCTGGTACTATTGACCATCAAATGAATTCAGCATGCAAAAATCATATAAAAATCATCAAAAAATGCAAAGTATTTGAACTAATTGTTTTGAATAGACTAGCTGGTGCATAACTGAACAGAGGAGACATATGAATTCTCAGAAATAGATAGCAATGTTCTGAACAAGTAAAAAGAAGGGAAGCACTGTTTTTTATATGTAAATAATCTTCAAATGTGTCTAACATCTTTGAATGTTGTAGGATTTTAATAACTTCGTTTTTGTAGCACTGATAGTTTAGATATATTCTACATTTATTTGTCTTTAATTTTATATATTATATGTCCTTATACAGCCAATACTTTGTCTCCAGGAAGGTTTTAGCTTTGTCATGTTGCAGTAAAATAATTCAGCCCAAAATTAATGCTGTCCAAACCCCAGAAAAAATACTGTCCTGAAAGAGTTAAGGCTTTCTAGTCACAATGTTTAAATTGTTGTGTGTGATTGTGATAATGTGAAGTTGACTAGTTCTACTTTTCATCTGGTTTAATATCATTTCAAAACATTTTAAAACTTACTAGTTTAATTTCAATAAAATCGTCTAGAATTCCAGAGATGAGTTTAGCCAGAACGGCATTTTCCTGTTCGGTCATCACCCCGAGAACGATTTCATCGACTTCAGTGTCATTCATCTCCAGTGGAGGGTACCGGTAGACCATCATGCCATGAATATCAGGATTTCCGATTCTGTGAAAGTAGTAGCCTAGTGGCTCTGTTAAAAAAAAAAAGAATATGAACAGGCATTGTTTTGCCTAATGCATCAACAGTTTTTAAAAGCCTTAAAAAAACATGGAACTCTAAACTGTATCGTTTTATAAGCAAATTATACATTTCAAATTCTAATGTTACTAGAATGTTGACATGTGCCAATGAAAGTTAGAAAAACACTAAGGACATGGAAAAAAGTTAAATGCATTTGAAAACAAATACCTGGTGAAAACCATAAACAAATAATGGGATGAATTTCAGAGGGGTGAAGAAATAAAAGAAATGTCTGGGCAACATAAGTGTCAAATTATAAGACAGAGAAGATGGTGCTATATGGGACATTCTGAGAAGAGACGACTAGAGAATCACCAAATAGTCACTGAAAAAGGAAACAGGGGGATTACAGAAAAAAGGAAGTTCAAGAGAAAACCCCTAGGACAAACATAGATGAGAGAAGCCAAAGAAGCTGGACCGGATTCCATCCATGATACTGAACTGACTACACAGAAAAGAATGAAAAGGAAGAAAAAACTCCAAGCCCTAAATAAAAGCACAACAGTACAAAGATTGAATGGATGACTGATTTTGCTTACTGCTAAAATGATCTACATGGTGAAGCAGTCAACCCATTTGCTTCGCTCTGAAGGTTTTGGGTTCATTTTATGGACGGCATCATTCAGTTCATAGGTACAGTTTTTAACTCAATTCACAGGCATAATCACTGGAATCAGGGTTTTCTTTCTCAGCAATGGCACCATTTTTAGGCATCAATTTTTCAGCGCTATTTTAACAGACACTCTGAGGTGAGTATCAGCACTTTTTTGCTACGAAGAGTTCCTTTACTGACAATGCCAGTTTCAAAATGACTAAAAATCTACTTGTTGTTTCTCATGCACATTGAAAACCATCAAGACCCTCTTTTTACTCCCTGCTGAATCAAATGGATATTCTGTCTGCTCCAGTGTCCACTTGATCTCAGAGTACTTTCACTATTTTTACTTCATCATGAAGTAGCTCACCACCCAGAGGCCAATCTATCAGCCTGTTCATTTACTGCAAACACACAGGGAAAAAAACACCTTAACCTGTGGGTTGTGAACTGAATGTCTAACCTTTTCAGATCTTCTTCTTAGTGGAAAGTGGGTTTACATGTTCTTCTGTTTGGATGTGTGCATGGCCAGCTTTCTGTGACTGACCACTTCCATCAATGACAAGTCACAGTTCTGGTGGCAGCTGTTGGCATTGGCAGCTCTACTGACTGCTTTATGCATTTACTGCATGTGAATATTTATGGATTTTGCAGGGACTGATTGTTTGTTCGCTAGAGTTCAAATGGCAAGGTGACAGGCATTTCAAGTAATTTTTACTGGCACAGGAAATTGAGTAATTATGGGGCAAACTGGCTGCGCGTGAGTTGGTTGCGGATATCAACTTCATTTGCGGATAAAAGGCAGAACAAGAAGTGGAAAGTAATATAATAGTGGAGAAAGCAGGACTAGAATAGAAAGACAACTTAAGAAAACAAGAATTGGACTGACAAAAGAGAGAAAGATATTAAAACAAAGTTAGGTTCTTACCCTGTTCACAAGCTGGACCTGCAAAGGCTGTTCTGGAGCAGTCACACCAGGTGGTCCCATTGTTGAGGAAGTCATGACAGATCCCTCCATTCTTACATGTAGTCTTCCTGCAGTGGATCTGGACATCTGCACAATTGACAAGAAGAAAACCCATAGGTGTACATTTGACAGGCAGCTGGGGAGTTGGTCGCCATGTTAGCTGTAGACTTAGTCTCTGGTAGACCTAGTCTTTTGCAGAATTAGTCTCTCGGAGACTTAGTCTCTCACAGACTTAGTCTCTCGTAGACCTAGTCTCTCGCAGACTTAGTCTCTTACAGACTTAGTTTCTTGCAGACTTAGTCTCTTGCAGACTTAGTCTCTCGCAGACATAGTCTCTAGAGTGTTTTTGGAACCAACTGTGTGATGAGATGTATGTGTGATAAGCTGTATGTTTTCATGAATTACTTTAAAAAAAAATGCTAATAAAATAATTAGATGCATTAACTTAATCTTACCCTCTACTTTAGAGTGCAGAGGTGTACGGCAGTCCTGTTGTATTTTGATTCAATTACACAGGAAGCCACTATGGTGTATTGACCAGATGCTACTGGCGGACCCCTTGGTCATAGGATCAAATCTGAACTGAGCTAGACTTTTTTTTTTCCAGAAATGACCTTGGCTCCCAGGTTGACCTAGCCTAAAATGGGTGTCAGGTAAAGTCCTGGGAAGTAAAGGTGGCAGACATGATGCTGACCAAATCACCCACCAAGTGCCCAATTTTCTATTTTAAAAAATATGAATCTAAAATTTCTCCCACCTCTTGATGTCGCCCTTCTACCTCTATCGCTATTCAAGGGGTTTTAGGGGTACCAGCTATTAGTAGTAACTCTGCTGTTTGTGGCCTTTCACATCCTTTGCAGGACCGTTCACCTGCCTTTGGGCCAAGTCTGGCATCCAGCTCTCACCTGTGGCCACTAGTAGCTGCCAGCCTGGGCCATTCCCCCCCCCTTTTCCCCAACCTCAAGAAACAGTTTTGACAGGCCAGCTAAACCAAGTGAGGGTAACTGAATGGTTAGTAGACTTTGGAGAGTCCGGATCTGCATAACCCAACATGCAAAGACGGGACTCAGCTGAATGTGTGGAGGTAACACAGACCTGATGCAGAGTTCTAGCATGTGCTAGGAAGTGTAAAAAACGTGAGGCATGTGGAACACCCTGGTCATCCCCCATACCTGACTTCATCTCTGGCTGTCTCGACCTGTCCTACCACTAAATACAGATGGACAAAGGTGAGAGAGTAAGGCTGATGACTTTGTGCAACTTTTCCTTACTTTAAGCCAATTTCTCATGCAAGTAACTCTTTCATTCATCCTTCCTGGCATATATTGGGCTTATAAGTCACTTCCATATTCACAGATAATCAACTATAGTTTCATGACAAATAAAATAAAGAGAGGTCCTCATCACTTGTGATAGACGAACATCAACAACAACATCACTGTATGTTGTTTTTTCATATTGCTGAAATATTTCTCAAGTCTCTTTTTATTTCCAAGAGCACCTCTCTTTCCATGCCCAGTCTTCTCTGTATCTAACTATTTTAAGACAGGTGGAAAACTGGTTTGACTTACCCTGGCAGTTGTTTAAGATGCCATTAATCTGGCCAGCCTTGTACAGATCTGGGGTGTCTCGGCCAAATGTCACAGAAGCTAAACAACCTCGGTAGCCAGTTTTGGAGGTCAGAAAATCCTTGATGTATTGTTTTTGGAATATAATCTCAGGAAGACCACCTGTTAGCAAAAGCAAAATGAATACACTTTTGGCATATATATTGTAAAAATTAACATATTCACTGTAATGAGAAATAATGGATATAGTGTAATAAGTTGAATAGAAAATAACATCAGGTGATTAGTGTCCAAAAAAAGATGTGTGTTTCTCTGAGTGTGGAGACTTTTCTTTACACCCATTACTGAAATTTTATATCAACAGAGACTGTGTTGCAGAGCTACGTTTTCCATTTCAAAGCTAAAAGAAAACCCAGCAGGGTGGGAAAGACGGATCCTGAAGCTTAAGGAGAAGAATATGTGTAACCAGGTCATGAGTGAGCATAATAAATGTGGTCTAACTGTTCAATAGACCTAAGTTGGTAAAGTTTTGTCCACAGGTTTCAGCTATTTAGTGATTAGTGATTAGAAAGGATTATCATCACAGCACTCTGGACAGATCCATAGGTGCTCTGATCTCCTACTCAAAAGCTCTACAAGTGTAAAACGACTGATGACGCCTGTTCTGTGTTGGTTAATGAAACGTCTTGTCTGCTTAGTGAAATATTCATTTCTTGCAGCTCCAGGCTGCACCCCCATGTCCATCAGTCTAGACAGGGATATGGAATCATGTCCTGTGGCGTGCTCCTCGGTACGGTAAATGCAGCACATGGCATTGATAACATAACTTCTGTCCAGTACTGGGCCAGCCAAAGCAACTGCAGTGTCAGCAAGATGTCAGCTATTTCATTTTCATTAAACTCCAGCTCAGTTACTTAGGAGAAAAATATGAGTGCAACCCCAAACATACTTCACACTAAACACAGCTTATAAAGAAGTGACATTTAGGAATACTGTTATACAACAGTGAGTGTTTGAAAATGAGAGCAGGAATAACACATAAACTGGAGGACTTTCAAAATAAATGTTTAAGGAGAATCTGGCAAAATATTTTGGCCAAATAAGAAGGCCAATGAAGAACTGAGAAGGGAAACAGAATGTTCATCACCAATAAACATTATCGAAGAAAGAAGATGTAGATTGCTTGGTCATGTTTGCAGAATGCCTTGTGACACTTTGGCAGGACAGCTTTCTGATGGCGAAAAAAAGAAAGAAAAGAAACAGTAGAAAGGGAAACGAAGGAGTCGGGGAGTATCTGCCTGAGAGGTGAGGAACTAATACTGCGCACAAGTAAGCCTGATCTGTAAAATGGATGTGCATGCAAAACTCAAGTTCTGGAAGCAAGGCTGAAGGCCGAAAGTGGACAAACAAGTGGAACTTTCCACCACAGTTTACAGCTGGTGAACACAAAGAAGCAAAATAAGAGTAGTGGGCCCTTTTCTCACCATGGCATATTGGGTGTGTGGTGCTAGACTCATAGTTTATAAACCGATCGGCAGTTAAGGGTGATGTGGTCCACATTACATTGGACACCTTTACTTCCCAGGAAATGTTCTGGTATCTGGTTTGGTCAACCTGACAGCCAAGGTTAATTTAAAGGAATAAAATCATACAAATGTGGATTTGAACCCAAGACTTTTGGATCAGTAGGCATGTATTTAACCACTGCACTGCTATGGCTCCATGAGAAGTAAAGGTTATAATTTATGATATGCTGCTGTTTGTTCTTCTCACATCAAATGTATATTTTATGATAGTATACCATATGTTCTTCATACATCAAATGTATATTTTATGATAGCATACCATATGTTCTTCACACATCAAATGTATATTTTATGATAGCATACCATATGTTCTTCACACATCAAATGTATATTTTATGATAGCATACCATATGTTCTTCACACATCAAATGTATATTTTATGATAGCATACCATATGTTCTTCACACATTAAATGCGGCCACTCCCTGTTTGGGTTCCGGGGGTCCTTTTGTGGGGAAAACAAGAATAGACCCGGTGCCTACCCAAAAGCATGCTGTAAGAGTCGACTAATTTGGAGTTTCCTTTGAAGTCGGACTGCATATGCATGAGAGGCAAGGAACCAGCAGTCTGCATACAAATGAATCAGATTTATAAAATGGATGCTCACGCAACACTCAAGTTCTGGAACACGACTGCAGTCCAGAAGTGGATGAACAACCAGAACTTTCCGTCAGAGTTTATAGCTGGTGAATGTGAAGAAAAAGAAGAAGAAATGCAGCCACATAAACACACAAACAGGAAATAGCTTACCTACATACAGAAGCCCTTGAAAGTTCAACTGATCAATTCCTGAATACGAGTACGAAGAATGGATGCCATTCACGGCCATGTTCAACTGATCCTGACCACTGATCTTCTGGTGTACAAGTGACACAGAGTGCCAGCGGCCATCATTAAATCTGATATTTTCTGGGGTAGCCATGTGTAAGCGGGGTTTTCCAGGAATATCAAGCTATAAACAGGACAAATAAATCATTTGTTTTAACTAAAAAATGTTACTACTTGAATAATGGCATCATAAGACAAACACTGCATACACAAAATAGTCCTGCTTTCTTTAATACATTATGTCTTTATTGAAATATCTGTGCATGTCTGTTTCATAACCATTTTTCTTCGTCTAGCTACTTATTTTCTCAACTTCTTTCCTTTTTGTTTTCTTAGTGTTTAGCTGTAAACTCTAGCAAGAAGTTTTGATTGTTCATCCACTTCTGGACTTTGATCTTATTCCAGAACCTGAGTTTTGTGTGTACAGATCTGTAGATCTGTATACAGACTGGTGGTTCATCGGCAGATGCACTCAGAGTCTGAAGCAAACACTTCTATAGGAAGAATTAGTCACTTCTATAGGTCATGTGTATTAGAGGTGTAGTGGATCTATTGTTTCACCATGAAAGGGGAACTCAGAACCCAGATAGGGACTTTTTCCTCAACGAAATTCTGCCCATGTATACTCTCTTTGGTGTCTTTTCCTGTGAAATAGTTGGGCAAAATAATTATAGTCTTCATTTATTTACTACTTTAAACAGTCTTCTTTGATCTGTTAGATGTTTCAGGAATAGCTAACCCATCAGTTTGCAAACTAGATAGTTCTTGTCATTGATTAAATAACAGTACTTCTGGGATATATGACTGTTTATTATGTTGACTTATTCTTCGTATTTGAATATATTAGAACCAAATGATGCAAGAGGCAAAAGTGAACATAGAGGATTATTTTATATATCTCAAGTTTTATATTCTCCCATGTTGGTTTTGGTGCTATATGGGGGATAGACTCCCTGCCCCTTCACATACATGTAAAAAAAAACTAATTGAGAACTTGCTGAAGTCAGATGTGGTGAGCAAAAAAGGGTGGGGGGATTTTTTTGTTGTGTTGTGTTTGTGTGTATCTTTTCCATCCCCTCCACTGAGCTTTCTAGTCACTTTCTGTGTTATATTTAGCATTTCTTGCAATCAGCTTGAATGCAGTCAACTCCATTTACATCACGACATTGTGTTGTAGGCTGTGATATTTCTGCCTTTGACTCAACACATCTGGTTTCAGCAAACCTCTGATTAGTTGCTTTTTATGAAATGCTTGTCATGCAACCCCACCCTCTATTTTCTACCTAGGGCCTTGAAACTTAAACAAGGATACTGTAAGATTTGAAGACCATCCTCTGAATAATGGGCACTAAAGATGGCAACCGCAAATATCCTGACGAACCTCAGTCATGTGTCAATTGCGCACTTACGGTCACGAGCACATCGCGGAAAAACTAGGATTAGTGTCTTTGACAATTTCGAGAAACGGAACAAACCGCAGAGTTAAACTCGCTGCCGAGAGTCTCCCCCGTGCCACTACGTGCGGTGCGGATGAGGCTAAACTAGATGGCTGGGACCCACAAGCAGCAGCTACAGCATCTCCTGCAGCGTCGTCATTTTATTTGCTCGTGTGGGAGGCTCTTGGCGGAGTGTTCGTTGGAAGAAAGTCGGCAATTTACGCGTGAGTGCTATATTTTTCTACGTCAAGCCGCGCCTCGTTCCGATCGTACTTAGCTGAGTTTCAATGGCGTAACAGCCACAAACAGCAGATTTTCAGGCACTATTTACAATTTCTGTGCCATAATTACCAGATATAAAGGCATAAAATTATCGGTAAGTAGTCGATTTGATATAACATTTTTTTTTCCTTATTAGTTTTGACTTCAATTTTTGAATGTTTACAACACATGACACGTGACTGAGGCTCGTCAGGATATTTTGCGGCCGCCATTTTTAGTGCCCGTTATTCGGAGGATAGCCGATTTGAACATTGCTACTGAATTCATTTTTTTATCTCAATCAAAATTTACCTTCATATGAATCCTGCCATCAATCAGCTCCACAGCAAAGAGCTCCTTGTTCCTCCCTTCACTGAATAAAAAGACTCCATTGGGATCATGGGTTCTAAACAGGAAGTGGATATTCAGCCCGGATGCTGATCCAAGGGGAGATAACTGAATGTGGGCATCATTGCTTGGGAATGTCACACTGTTGAACACCAGAGGTGGAATGTTGGGCTCCACAAAGAAAATTCCAGTCATATTATTGGAATCTCCTTGCTGGAAGATGTCGAAGCCCCCAAAGTTAAAGTTACGGATGTATCCAGTGAAATGGGTTGAGGGCAGAGGATAATCAATGTCTTCTTTACTGTATCCAGCAACAAAAATGTCATTTATGTACAGGAAGTATCCATCACCAGGCAAAGTAACTGGTTGGGAGGAAAAGATTTAAATAATTAACATCTTATGGTACCTTTCATAATACAATCTAAAAGATACTCTTTAATTCTTACATGTTGATTTATTAGTATCTAGGTTATCCAATTCATGACCAGCTCCAGATACAAGACCATACAGCTGAAATCCCATTTTTGTGAGGCTGGCGTGGCCGGCTGGTGGTAAAAATTGTTATTGAGCAGATTTATACACAAAGTGAACTACAGTTTAATTAATTTCAACATGTTTTATAATAAAATATTTTGAATATTTTATAATAACCCAATTATGTATCTTCAGTTAAATTGTAATTCAATTTGTGTATAAATCTATTCAATAACAATTGTTCCCATCGACCGGCCGCACCAGCCTCACAAAAATGGGAATTCCTGTTTCAACTGTATGGTCTTATATGTTACATTGAGCCTGTTGTATGGCAGTGAATCTTGGGAGGTGAGCAAACAAATAAAGAAAAGCTTGGAGGCAACTGATATTGGTTCTTGAAAAAAATGATGAGAATGTACACACACACAAAATGTGAACCCAATAGCTTTTAGGAAATAATATGTAAATCATACACAAAAAAAGAAGCAGACAAACAAACAAAACCGACCTAAATAAAAGCTTATTTAAAAATAAAGATGCATCAAATGTTTGCTAAATGTTACTGACTACAATTACTAACCTTCAATCTAGAATGCTTGTAAAGCCTCAGATAATGATCTTTTATTATATATGAATGAAAATGGTTTGACTAAAGTAGACACGTTAAAGCTAGCACTATGGCAGAAATCTAGTAGAAACTAAGCCAATATAAGATCATATTATAAAAGTTTAGCCAATTCAAACAAATTTAAGCTAGCACTCTGACAAAAACCTGCAATGTACTAAGCCAACAGACTAAATCATTCAGACTGAAATGATGATAAGAAAAAAAAACAGACAGGAAAAAATTTAAGCAGATGCAACTTATGCCACAGGAACTGAAAAGTACATAATTTAAGAGGGCTACTGACAAAAAAAAATTATAAAAGGAAAAACTGGAAATTAAATCATTTAAAAATTTATAAGATTTAGTTTTTTGGCTTCACCTGGGATAGTGAAAGAAAGTCGTATTTTCCCATCCTTTACCTTATCTTGGTCTCCAACACTTCCCTATATGTAGGCCTAGTCACCAGTGGAAACAGGGGTCTAACTAAAACCACATATTTATTGTCTGTCTTCTACTTCATCCTTGTCTCCATCGCTGCCTTATCTGTAGTCACTGACCCTAAGTGCACCCGAGCCATCCCCTGTAATACCCTAAGTGCACACGAGCCATCGCCTGTAATACCCTAAGTGCACCCGAGCCATCCCCTGTAATACTAAAACCAGTATTAACAATTTAGAAGACAGACAAATGTATTATTTCAGACACAAATAGATATGTGGTTTTAAAAGATTTTAACAACGAAATATAATTTTTTTAAATTACCTTTTTTTCCAAGGAAGTAAAAGGAACAAATTTTCAAAAGGATAACCAGTAAAAATTTACTTTTGCTGACTGATGCAATAAATAAAGAAATGCACAAACAAAGTCAGAACTGCAGATAAAAATGTAACCTGTGTATTGGTCATGTTTTGGGAGGAGTTAACACTTCATTTAAAATAAACACACAAAATGCTGAAAGGGTTTGTGATTTATAGTACAGATGGAAACATTAATTAAACATGTACTGTAAAACCACTCGTACAAACAATGGCTCTGTTATCATCCACTGTTATATTAACATAAGTCGTCCCCTTGAGGGATGTAATTTTTCTTTATTTTGAAGCCCCACCATGGCTGTTGTTTGGGCTGTAATACAACCTAACAGTTTAACTTAGTTTCCAGGACCTCTCCATGGGTGATCCTCATCCACATGGTGGCACTTTGTGTCACCAGGTGTTTGTGTGATGTCCTGGTGGGTTAAAACTTACTTACTTACTCATCCCTCACGTTCCAATGTTGGCCACAATTTTTTGGTGTTTTAATGCCCCAACCTGGCTGTTGCCAGGGCCCTAATATAACCTAGTGGTTGAACAGGGATTTCTGGGACCTCTCCACGGGTGATCCTTATCAGCATGTTGGCCCTTTGTGTTCCTGGGTGTTTAATGCTTAATGGATGTCCTGGTAGGGTTAAATCTCACTCACTCACTCAATGGCTTTGCATTATTTATTTTTATTAAACACTTTATGACAATCTTACTTTTCTGCTCATTTGTTGAATCATCCACCCAGACGACCATTTGGTTACCACGGCGCTGTATGTAAACAGTGTGCCACTGCAGATCATTCAAGTTCTCTCCAACATAGACTGTCTGAAAACATAATCAACATATTATACAAAACACTTGAAGGAACCCAGCTATACCTGCCTCTTCATGGGGCACCTCGAGCACCAGATACGTCATGTGTATACCGGTAGGCTCCCCGAGCTCTACAGGAGGTATATCAATGATTGCATCAGTGTCGATATGCCCCTACAGGAACTAAATTCATTCATTTTTTCTCTAACTTTCATCCCAGCATCTGATGCACTTCTAGCATCTCACCTTCATCGGTGCATTTTCTGGATCTCACTGTCACCGTGAACTCTATAGGCCTTAGAACCTCATTGTACTACAAGCCTACTGATTCCCACGCTTTTCTTCTCTACACATCCTCCCATCCCTCTTCTTGCAAGTACTCAATTCCATTCTCCCAAATTCTATGCCTCTGCAGACTATGCCAGGAGAATGACGAATTTCACAACAAGACTCTGGAAATGTTGGACTTCTTCCGGCTTCGAGGGTATTCTGAACATGTCCTATCTGCCGCCTTTCACCACGCACGATCTTTCCATCCTGCCGAGGCTCTCGCTTCCAAGCCGAAACATCACAACAAAAATCTAAAAACTATGTTGCTTTGACCTTTTAATAAGGACATCTTAAAATATTTACCTGTAGTTCTCCGCCCAAATTTGTAGTAACCTTGATGCGACCACCTTCCAATTCGGCTCTGATAAAGCCACCATCAGTCCTAGCTTTAGTCTGAAACAACACCCCATCTCTGACCATGGTTTTAAATCGGAAAGAGATGTCATCTACATGGTTCTTCCTCTGGGGCAGAAAGGTCATCTTGTATCTAGTGTCACCGTTGAAAACACCTGTCCAAGCATCTGTGAAAGATTGTTCAAAATTGTATAGTTTCCGTGTTTTTTTTTTTTTTAAACTAAACAATGTTGTTGGTTATGAAATAAAATAATATAAAAACCTTGCCTGAAACCAGATAACACTAAATCATAATCATCAAGTGCCTTGCCCACTGGCTGGGTGGTCATGCCTCTCAACCATCTGCAATCTTCCACAAAATGTATCCCTATATGGGCTCCAGAGCTCTTTTTGTTCTGGGATTGGGGTAGGGGGGGGGGCAGGTGAAAGAGACCCACTGCCTCTCTAACAAGTATGCCATACAAGGCGACTAGTTAGGGTAGTTACCTTCAAAGATTGAAAGCATCTACATGAGAGGTGAGGAGAAAAAGAGTCTAGAAATAAGCCTGATATGTAAAATGGGTGTGCATGCAAATCTCAAGTTTTGAAACCAGTACCAAAGTCTGGAAATAAACAACTGACCTGAACTTTCTGCCAAAGTTTACGGCCAGGGACAGCTAAGAAGCCGCCCCAAGAACTGCATGTGTCTGGTCTTATGGTGACAGCCCTTCATACAACGACAGAGGGCTGTCAGCCCAAGAACTGCATGTGTCTGGTCTTGTGGTGACAGCCCTTCATACAACGACAGAAGGCTGTCAGGAATCATCTGGCATGTCTTCCTCTGTCTCTCCCCCCCCCCCCCCCACAGATCTTTCTAGTGGTCACAATATGTTTCAGCTTCCCTCTTTCCATAACATCACCAAAAAATCATGACTGTCTCTTTCTGATAAAAACTACATACAACCACATCAAATTAGATGCCACACAAAAATAGATAGGCCCTATAGTAACTTAGTATTGCAAGTGGTAAATTTGTTGTGATTTTTTTGTGGTTTTTTTTTTAGCAGATACTTTCTTATATCAGTTTTAACATATTTTAAAAGGAATTTAATAGGTCAAGAAGGAATAAGCAAAGATAGAATCAATAAACCAACATTAAAGAGAAGTTTGGAAGAAGATTGTGAATAAATTATATCGAAATACAGAGAAGAAAGGGGTTTGGCTTTCTAGTGAGACCAAACTGTATACAAGACCTGCAGCAGAATATCTGGATGGAAGGCACGAGGAAGACCAGACCAAGGAAGAGATGGATATACAACCTAGCTGAATCCTGCAAAAAAGATGAACAAAACAACTACTCAAGCCCTCTGAACAGTGCACAGAAAACACAGAAAAACTTGAGTTAACTATCAGACATCTTTTTATACTTGGGTTAATTGTCAGACATCTTGTTATACTCGAGTTAACTGTCAGACATCTTTTTATACTTGAGTTAACTGTCAGACATCTTTTTATACTTGAGTTAACTGTCAGACATCTTTTTATACTTGAGTTAACTGTCAGACATCTTTTTATACTTAAGTTAACTGTCAGACATCTTTTTATACTTGAGTTAACTGTCAGACATCTTTTTATACTTGAGTTAACTGTCAGACATCTTTATATACTTGAGTTAACTGTCAGACATCTTTTTATACTTGAGTTAACTGTCAGACATCTTTTTATACTTGAGTTAACTGTCAGACATCTTTTTATACTTGAGTTAACTGTCAGACATCGTTTTAAACTTGAGTTAACTGTCAGACATCCTGTTTTACTTGAGTTAACTGTCAGACATCCTGTTATACTTGAGTTAACTGTCAGACATCATTTTATACTTGAGTTAACTGTCAGACATCTTTTTATACTTGACTTAACTGTCACACAAACATATAATTCTTCTGAAGACTTTAAATGACCAATGACATGAATCTTACGGTTCTGGCACTGATCTCCTGAGTAATCTGTAGCTCTGCAGTCGCAATAGTAACCATCCCAATTGTTAGAGCAAGAGCCATGGACACAGGGAGAAAGGAGAGAGCACTGCTGCGATGACGCTAGACATCTTCGCTCAATTCCTCCAAAGGGTTGCTGGAGGGGTATTTTACAAATGTAGGTACTTGAAGTTCTTGCTCTAAGTCACAGTACATTGTTACATAACAGTTGTCTTAGACAGTTCACAAAAATGAACACCAGGTTTAAGAGAGACAGAAACAACAGATAGTATACAAACAAGACAATAAAGAACAATATTGACAGAAACAAAGATTTAAAAAAAAAATACAAACAAGAAAGAAAGAAAGAAAGAAAGAAAGAAAGAAAGAAACAAAGAAAGAAAGAAAGAAAGAAAGAAAGAAAGAAAGAAAGAAAGAAAGAAAGAAAGAAAGAAAGAAAGAAAGAAAGAAAGAAAGAAAGAAAGAAAGAAAGAAAGAAAGAAAGAAAGAAAGAAAGAAAAGACAATTTTCAGAAGAAACCTGATATACACTTGTACAATATCTTTCTACAGCCTGCCTCTCCTCACTTGCTATGTACATGCACATATGCGCACGCAGACACACATATGCACGCACGCATGCGCCACACATGTACACACACACACACACAAATCCTAGGTAGGTAGTAAAGTAGTAACAACAACAAAAAACTGTTACATAGGAAGATAGGCAGTAAAATAGAACAATGGTTAGCCAGTTTGCTTTCCTAAAGTTGCATGGAAAGTAATACTTTTATAAGCTTTTTCCCCCCTTTATCTTGCTAGCATTCACCAGCTGTAAACTTCAGTGGACAATTCTCATTTTTCATCCAATTCTGGACTTTAAGCTTGTTCCAGAACTTGAGCTTTCTGTGCAAATCCATTTTTCAGGTTTGTCTTATTTATGTGAAGACTGCTGGTTCCTTGCTACTCAGGCAGATACACACCGACTTAGGGGGGTAATAGGTCTATTACTTTTTTTGGAATCCAAAATGGGCCCTGGAACCTACTTTTTTTTCTTCTTCAGCATTCCAAGCCCTTGAGGTTCATTGCTGCAGATATCACATGCCTTCATTCATCTTTCTGGTTGGCTTTCTCTTTCCAGTTGGTGACATCAAGTGTTTGCAGGTCTGTCTGGATATTATCTCTCCATAATCTTCTGGTCTACCTCGTGGTCAACGACCATTCAGCTCTCTTGTGTATATAGTTGCTACCTCTCTGTCATCTGACATTCTTTCAGTATGCCCTAACTATTTCAGTCTATTACCTACAGGAGGGAACCTACAGGATGGTGGTGGGGGGGGGGGGGGGGGGGGGGTGTTAATCTGACTATCCCAGTATTTGTTAACAAACAACTCTGAAACACAGGAAGTGGATTATTTACACACCTCAACTTATGTATCAAGGTCGTCAAACTGACTAAATAAAATTCACTATTGACCACAACACCTGATATTATTCCTCATTCTTCTTCTTCTTTTTACCCCCTTCCTCCAGCTGCTCCAGTGAAGTGTCTGGGTGGAGGGCAGAGGAGGGTTTGTGAGGATCGCCCGTGTGCTCTTTCTAATGCACTGTGTAAATTCATCTGCATTTCTCTCATCAAGGTTGTTCTAAATGCAATCATTCAATATTCTGTGAGTTCTTCCCCTAGCTGTGTACTCATTATGTTTCTCTTTTTTCAAAATAACTCTCTATGTTAGTTGGTAACAGGGCAAAGTAGCTCATCTGTTGCTCTTTGATGAACTGAATGACCTGGTTTCAGTATTATGATTTTCCCAAAGTTGGTTCCGGGGCTCTAATTTTGGGACAAAAACTGCTCCAGAACAAGCATGACATAAAACAAGGCTAATTAAGGATTTGCTGAAATCAGACGTATTGGGCCAAAAGCAGCAGATACCACAGCTTTTACAGTAAAACACAGCACAAAGTACCAACCACCCTTATAAAGATAGATGCAAGAGAAGATGTAGTCTAATTTTTTCTTTGAATTTGATTTGTATCTATTCTGTTACCTCACAAGCTATACTAAAATTTCTCATCTCTTCTGTTATGATTCTCCAGTCATTAGTTGTACTAAGAGTTATGTTTGAAACCGGCTAAAAGTAGTTCTTGTGTTTCGATACTAGTATCTTTATTTGTCAGAAGCAGAAACTTCCCCAGTACCTGACTTGCCTTTGCACATTTCATGTTAATCTCGTATTTCCGGAGAGTGAAGAAACAAACAAAAGTGAACTTAATCAAAGCTTTAACTCTTTGAGTCCCAAGGAACGCATCATACGTTCATAGATTCCTACCTGAGGCCCAATGAACGCATGATGCGCTGATTTTACATCTCTTTTGATTTACCCCTTGGGCCTGTGATGCTAAACCCCCTGGGACTCAAAGAGTTGAAAAAAAATACACAAACCTGTGTCTGCACATAGCCATGAAGATCAATCACACGGCCATTAATCTGGAGGTCTTCTATGCAGCCTTGGTATCCATTACGTGCCCACGTATGCCAGGGTAAATTTTCATATGCAGAAAAGCCACCAATATTCAGGGAACCTAAATTGACAAAAACATATAAGATTTGTTAGATGGATGCATCTTTGTAAAGTTAAAGTTGTGAAAATTGACTTTATTTCATCAGGTTACCCCATAGCAAGTCCTAGAGACCGCTGACTAGCTGTTTCTTTTTTAAATCAAATAATGAATCAAAAATTATAATTTTGCTCTACTGAAAAGGGTAGGCAGTCCTTACTGTTTATCTCTAAATGTTTTCAGTTTTTGAATCAGATCTGCGTTGTGATTCCTTTTATGCTTTTTGGACAAGCCACCACTAATCTTTCATTTGACATTCTTTGGTAAGTTAGCCAGTTTTCACAAAGTTTTTCAGTTTTTTGTTTTCACAACTTGGAAAACATACAACAGAGTTTTTAATGTAAGAATGGCCAATTAACCATTAGGAAGTTTACTAAATATGCTAAATTTAAAAAAATAGAAATAGTGAATGCCGCTTGGCACAAGAAATAGATACATTTGTAGACAAATAGGTTGTTAGGTGAGTCAGGTAGCTAATGTGAAGTAAATAAGTGAAAAAAGTTAGTTAACTTTGAGTCCTGAGGAACGCATCATTAGTTCATAGATTCCAACCTTGAGGCCCAATGATTGCAAGATGCCCCGATTTTACGTCTCTCTCGACTACCCCTTGGGACTCAAACAGTTAAGTGATGTATTTAGGTAAGTAAAGTAAGTAAAGCCCTTTTATGGCACTGGTATGTCAGACTTATTATCCTAGCCTCATATTTTTACATACCAAACGCATTAGGTGGGTAATGTGGTAAACATCATGGCGGTTACCTTTACTTACCAGGACGTTACCTTGAAACCATTTTAGGCTGGGTTGACCTGGGTAAGGTAGGAATTGCTAAACATAAATGTGACTGTGAAGTTCAAAGGAGGGAATGGAAAAGATGCACACAAACACAACCAAATGTTTCAACCAAAGTCTTTATCAACGGAATACTTAATAACTAAAAATCTGGGAAAGGCAGGTCAGAAGACTAAATTTCATGCAGAAATATCTTCTTCTTCTTCTTTGCATTCACTACCTGTAAACTCTGGTGGCGGAAGGTTCTGATTGTTCATCCACATTTAGACTGCAGTCGTGTTCCAGAACCTGAGTGTTGCATGTGCATCCGTTTTATAGATCTGACTCATTTGTATGCAGACTGTTGGTTCCTTGCCTTTCAGGCAGATGCATTCCAACTTCGAAGGAAGTTTCCAGTTAGTCGACTCTTACAACATACTTTTGGGTAGGCAGTGGGTCTATTCTTGTTTTCCCCACAATAGGGCCCCGGAACCCACACGGGGAATTCAGAAATGTGATTTTGCACGCAGGCTGATTTCAGAGAGCCAGCAGGCAGGTATACTGTTGGATAGGTATTATAGTCAGACTGAAAGGATCAGATTTATAGATGACTGATTAATTTAGCAGATGGATGGACAAATGGAAGTTTGGATGAACTGACGGTTGCACAAAAAGTCTAGGCTACATTGGTCCTTTAAGCTGTTCTATACATCCCCAGCATCAAGTGCCTTGCCAACTGGTGTGAGCAACAATGCTCATTGTTGTGTTGACACACTCTTCATGCCAAGATAAAAGATCATCTTGTATTGTCTTCCTCTATCTCTTTTTCCACAGATCTTTTAAGAGTTCATAATATGTGCTTACCTATTACTAATGCTCGATGCATAAAACAGAAACAGTGACCTACCGAGACTGCGAGGCAGTTCTTCATTAGCATCAATTCTTATCCTCACAGCCTCCCTGTCCAGACTGAGAGCTACTTGGCTGGTTAAGAATCTGATGTCCACCTGTAATTAAAGTTTATAATTCCCAGCAAAGTTACACAATTCATTAATATCTACAATGTTAATATCCAGCAATATGTTGACCCAAAAAATATAAGATTTCCAGCAATGCAAACAATGACATTTATTAAATTTCTTTAAGACTTGTCATTTTTTAGGGGCAGAAATTGTTGCATCTTCTACGTTAATCTGTTATTTAAATTTTTAAGTGAAATAAATGCTTTATTTATTTATTTATTTATTTATTTAAAACGAATCACAGATCAATTCATCAATATCATGTGTCATACCAATAAGAGTGGGCGATTTCACTCACCATGTTAACCAGAATCTTCAATAAGATCGCTGTTCTTGACCTAATTATGTCATGTGGTTATATCTGTGAATAATGCTCCTAGATGGAGTGAGAGAGAGAGGGGGGGAGGAAGAAAGAGATAGAGAGAGGATGATCGTAGAATTTTGTGGGCAGTGCATCCATATCGCTGCTAAGAAATCAAAGATTAGAAGTAAAGATTAACACAGCTAGACACCAGAGGCACACCAACTGCATGAGAAGTCTTGTAAACCAGTACAGAAATAGCAGTTTTAACTGTGGGCCACTGATGAATATTTTGAGCAGAGAATTAGAGCACCTATGATGTCTCTAGGGTGCCGTGAGTATAACCCAACTCATAAGTCGTCCATGTCATTCTCTTCTTCTCTTCCCTGTCGAGTTGCTACTCAACTTTCAAGCTGATTTCTCCTCATAGCATGCCCAAAAACATTTTCACACTGTCTATGTAACATTTTGCTAACTTATTTACAGCTTTAGATATTTCTTGAAAGACCATTTTGCTTGTTTGTCTGTCTGTCTAGACAGCTGACACCCCCCCCCCCCCCCCCCATTTGTACAACTTCCTTTTAATCGTTAAACAGATATCTAAGGCTCAAATTATGATGGATTTAAATGGACAACCCTTGAACATTAAAGAACCACTAATTACTTGCATCAGGAGAGCTAACAGACTGCAATGGTTAGGGCATTTAGATAGTGCGGCAGATAACAGAGACTTAAGAAGCATGTACACAAGAGATGAATAGAGTTAGACCAGGAGGCAGAACAAAAGATTGTGGAGAGATGCTGGGACCAACTTGAAAGAGGAGATCAGTCAGGCAGTTGGATAGAGATGGGTGATATCTGTATCAGGGAACCTCAAGGGGATGCTGAAGAAGTGTCTATCCATGGTATTTTGTTCATTTTGCTCAGAAACCAAATTCCACAACGTATCAGCTGCTAAACTTCAATAATCCATACATACATAAAAGATGCTACTTCTTTCTTATCTTAATTTCTTTCACCTTTTCTTTCATACGCGGCGTCTGTGGCTTAGGCGTTGCGAGTCCGATTCGTAACCCAGCGTACCATGATCGAAACCCACTGCTGGCTGCGTGAATTTTTTTATCATGGTACGGGGCGTAGCAGGTAGACCCAGCCTAAAATGGGTACCAGGATGGGCTGTCCTGGGAAAGTAAAGACAGCCGGCGTAATGCTGACCACATTACCCACCAAGTCTGTAAAAAATATGGGCGCTCTTCCCATATGCTAGATATGCCTAAAGGCGTGGAAAGGGATCTTTACTTTCTTTTATACATAAATATTCTCAATCATTTTCCATTCTCTCTTTCACTCTCCTTTCTCTCATTCTCTGTGTATGGATAAAATAATATGCCAACAACAGTTTTCTTGATTATTTTCTTCTTCTTCTTAGCCTTCCCTGGCTGTAAACCTGTAAACTCTAATGAAAAGTTCTGGTTGTTCGTCCACTTCTGGACTTATGTTCTTTTTCCAGTACAGGACTTTTGTACTCACATCTGGCTTACACAGATCTGGCTTATTTGTATGCAAACTTTTGGTTGTTTGCCCCTAAAGCAGATGCACTTTGACTTCAAAGGAATGAACAACAGTAAAGAATAATGATCAAAGTGACAGTCTACAGGACAGTTGCTGGTTGAAGGTGAAAGGTTAACAGAAATGACAAAGGTAACAAAAACAGAGAGCATTCAAAACCATTACCTCATGTGGCCGCCCATCGGAGACTTCTCTTTCAGAAAACAAAGTCCTTTTTGTCTGGCCTCCAAAGTTGTGGATAAAATAAAGCTTGCCATCATAGATTTCTATACCAATAAAGTTTTTTCCATAAATATTGCTTGTGGAATACATGAGCAGGCCATTCCGTTTGACTGTTTGGAACCTGAAGTTCAGTGACCCACCATTCTGTATCTGGAACTGATATGGAAGCAAATTTTTTAAAAATCTAATAATGTAACAAGAAAGTAGAAATGTAACAATATTTCATGTTGTTGGTATAATACAATTCACAACTCTGACATTGTTAAAAATAGCTATCTAATTAATAAGACGGCAGTTGTAGCATTAATCAATTTATTACAGAATGTATCAGTTCATTTATTTGTCTAATAACCATCCATGATTCATTTTTCACAAAATGGTTGAAGAGTGAAGTCCAATCCTGATCAAAATATTCCTCCAAGCTTACAAAACAAGGGATTGATGAGTAATGCCGTCGCTGGATATAAAAGACTGATTAATAAATGATAGTGTTTATGGTTAGGGTTTCTCCTATCTTGGACATGTAATGAAAGGTTATGGCAGAAAAATAAAAAAAAATAATAATAATACAGGAAGGACTAAAACTGTCTTCAATATGATGTGAAAACAACTGACAGCTAGAGAGTTAAACAATACATTAAAAATACAAATGGTCAAATTGTATGTATACTCAAATCTACTGTATGGTGCAGAAACCTGGAAAATTAATAAGCAACTATAAAATTGAATTGTCTCTGGAAATGTAGATACACAGAAGAAAATGTATTTTATTGAAACAAAAGCTTTCAAATACAGAGGTTCTGAGGATGTCAATAAAAAGAGAGTTACTGAAAGAAATAAAAAAGAAATGATCTTTTCTAGCACCTTGCCAAAAGTATTTTCTAGGGTGATAATTCTGAAAACACTGAGTCTGGAATAAGCTATGCCTGGTCTAATATGCTTTAATTCTACACGCTCCATTTTTCGCCTGACTCTCCGGGCTCTGGCTCTCCTATTCCTATGCTTCTTTTTCTCTCAATTTCTTCCTCTTTCCACTCTCTACATTGCCACCTGAAGATGGTATCAAGCACAGAGCACGTACATAGGTCTGGCAATGATTCTTTTTATTATTAGGTAAAAAATGCAAAGAAAATATTCACCCTAGTATTGCCTGCTTGCTAGGAAAGAGGCAGGGTCTGTCCTGATGGAGTCCATACACCTGGCCCCCCCTAACCCGCTAACCAGACGTTCCACGTTCATGACTGTATAACCTCCAGTCATTCAGCCAATAGGCACACAGGTCCACTGTAGGCTTAGGGTTTTTAATCGAGGTTGTCTCCTCTAGATTCGTTGTATTTTGTGCCTCTTCAGTCATGCACAATTGCCTTGACTCTAGGAGGGTTTTCCTGATCAAGTGACTTAGTTCTAAGTGTGCCCCTTTTACTCTAAAGGCACACGTACTCACAGGGCTAGACCAAGCTCTCAAGGCAGAACAGTTGGTGTGCTCCACTGCCAGAGAGACTGGACATCTACAGTCCTGGATCTTTCTGATTCTTGTGTATTCCTGTACACATTAATCATGGGTGGCCGTGTTCGCTTATATTTCGTCCATGTTGCTAAGGGCGCTAAGGACTGACGTATTGCTGGTTGCAAAAACATCAAACAATTAATAACTACACAGTATATAACAAATATATTAACTTCCCTGCAGCATCCAGCGGTGGAACACATTGCCGTCATGTGTTTGAACTGATAAGAGGTCTAATTTAAGTGATGAAAACTGATACAATGCGTAAACTTCTCGCCTTGAAATATTCATGGCGGTTAGCATTGCCACACCGGAAGCGGAAAACCCTGATAAATTTGGACAAGGAGAGGAGTGGGTCAAAGGAAGTTTCGGACTTAGGCCTATGTAGGGTTCTAATCCCTTTAGGTCATGAGTGCAGGGACTGGCCAGTTGGTGCTGCAGAATCAGAAGATCAACAAATGATTCATGACAATTGCCGCCCAAGTGATGTGATTATCTATACAGATGGCTCTGTGTTGAGAGGCAGACAAAGGGATGGGTGTTTTGCCTTAGTAAAAGCGAATGGACGTCTCTTAGTGCAACAAAGCCTTGCAAATGATACCACAACGTCTAGTCTGAGAATGGAAGTGGCGGCACTCACTGCTGCCTTTCACTGACTTGAGAATCAGCCGAACATACATGTTGTAATTGTAACTAACTCACAGAGAATGCTGAGAAGGCCAAGACAGACATGCTTTATGTAGAGTGGCAAGCATCACTTCAAAGGTCACGGGTGGTTAGCATTCTTTGGATATTTTCTCTAGGTCATGCTGGTGTTTTGGCAAATGAGCAGGCAGACAGACTAGCTGGCTCTGCACCACTTGGTGGTGAAGTGATGTATGACAAGACCGATATTGTGAGGGCCCTTTGTGAGCCAGTGAACAGTGTGGAGGCACAGATAAATCATTATGGTCTGAGGAGAATTGCGCTGTGAGGTGTTACCAAGTGATCTGGCAGACACTCAACACTCATCGCAAGAGCAAGATGGATATAGAATCACATAATTACTGGTGCCATCAGAATTGCAATTCTTTGTTTGCTGCTGAAGATGGGGATGGACCTCTTATGGGGATGTCCCAAGTGCTGTGATGTTGATTCTTGACTCAACATTCAATATAAAAGAAATGGAATATTTTGGCCACATTAAAAAAACATAAGTCTTCTAAAAATCATACTGGAGGAAAACATTGTAGCCAAGAGAGCAATAGGTAGAGAATGATACAAGTGGGAAGACAACATCAAGAGATGGATGGACGGGAGTCTGAGAGAGTGTACAACAAACAAGACAAAAACAGAGAGAATTAGAAATCGATTGCATTCAACCTTCATTCTGGAGATAGCTTGCAAGTATGTGGTGCTGTTTGTGCCCTTGTTATTATTTAACACATACTTTATTTCAACAGAGAAATATCCTACATATGCACAGCTGGTAGATGCCAGTTTGGTTTGCTCAATGTCAAATGACCAAAACAATTACTTATTTATCAAAAAGGACAGGATTATTTTACCTCAGGCACAATCAGGTACACTCTTTCATCTTTGATTGTAATAGATGTGAGGCGGGGAGCTGGTGTTGTCCTGGGAGCAAGAGTAGTCCTCCTTGTCTGCGGGACTGGCACAGTAAAGGAAAAGTTGGGTGGCCAGATAACAGTCTGAATATCAATACCAGGGCGTTGAACCTCTGTGTTGCCAATCTCTGCTATTAGGTTCACTTCATATCTGTACGACTTGTTGTCTTGCAATGTTTCTGTTTTGTAGAATACCTAGGTAAATCGAAACAAATCAAATATAATATATTAATCACCTGAGAAAGGGCAATTCATTATAACCAGGGCTGGATTTAAGCTCGACAAGACCCTAAACTAAAGCCCTAAGGCCCCTATTCTTTTAAATTACACGAGCTAATTTAAGAAAACTTTAAAATAAATATACAAATGATGGAAATAAATTGTCGTTTAATTTTTTTTTGGGTTAAAGAAATAATAAAAATGTGTCAGCAAAATCACGTAAATTATATCACATATTTCTCTCAAAGGCTCTGTTAAATGTAAATCACATTTGTGAACAACAAATTCCTAACACCAAATAGGAATTTGTTGAGGCCCCTGCCTATCCTGAGGCCCTAAGCTGTAGCTTAGTTGACTTATGTCTAAATCCAGCACAGATTATAACCCAAAAAAGGCAGTTTATAATCATCCAGAAAAATACAACTAATCATGTCAGAAAGATGTTACATTTATTTGTATCCAAGTTTACTGAACGTATTCACTTTAATCTGACATTTCTCTGTCAAACGTATTCACTTTAATCTGACATTTCTCTGTCAAATGTACTCTGTTCATTATTGTGTTTTTACACTGAGTTGAACATTATGCATTGGAACTGGGACTAACAACTATAGTGGACATGTCCTTGCAATTTTCACCAGACACCTGGACATCCTAGAGCAGGGTTATTCAACTAAGTTTATTCAGGGGGCCAACCTTTTGATGATGGGAAATGTCTTTGGCCGGAAGCCCGGGATGTAGTTGCTGACCACATCACCCATCCAGTACTGACTAGTCTATAAAATATAGGTCAAGCCCTATATGCCAAATAGGCCCAAAGGTGTGGAACAGTGTCCTTTACTTGGCTTTGAGAAGGAACAGATAAAAAAAATTGTGACACCTGGCAAGATTGATGGGGGGAAAAAAGCCAGGGAAAGACAAAGACATAATTATCTGGATTCCTTGGCCACATGGATGGGCAGGACAAGACCACTCACCTGATCCATGATTCTAGGGATAGTGTGGGATGGCAATCCACGACTACTTATGCTTAACGTCATGGCCCAGGATAATGATGATGATGAAAATAAATCATCTTTTTCCATTTAACTGTAAGTTTATTCTAAAATTAGTAATTTACATCACCTGTGCAAGACCGCCATTGAAGTTTGGTACCACTCGACCATCAGTAGAAGCATAAGTGTTCTGAGTGCCGCCAAGATAAACTTCTGCTGGCACTAGAAACTGGATGTCTCTGGCAAATATGTAGTCTTCTTGGTGGGCGTTGTCCACACTCAAACTAATCTGTTGAAGACAATCATGCAATTATACCTCCCTAGTTATAATCGACTATAGGCATCCCCATGTGGGATGGCAATTTTTCGTTATTTGAAGCCCCACCCTGGCTTCTGCTGGGGGTTCTAAATGTAGCCAGGCCAAAAATATTGACTAATGGTCAAATGGAGTTTCTGGGAACTCTCCACATGTGATCCTCATCCGCATGGTGGCACTTTGTGTCACAGGGCGTTTATCGCTTAGTGTGATGTCCTGGGGGACCTAAATGTAGCCGGGCCAAAAATATTGACTAACGGTTAAACGGGGTTTCTGGGACCTCTCCACATGTGATCCTCATCTGCATGGTGGCACTTTGTGTCACCGGGTGTTTATCGCTTAGTGTGATGTCCTGGTGGGGTACAATTTACATACATACAGATATAAACAAGCAATATTTTTTGTTTTTGACAAAGTGATCGTAAAGCAGCTAAAGTTGCAATGTTTTATAATGATTTTTCTTTTTTTGTCATCAAGCATTTTCAATTCTTGTAGATATCTGCTTAAATCTT